TCATTCTCTTTTTCATATGTTCATTTGCATATCTCTTTGTTTAGCAGTCGAGTACCTATGTTGTGTTGTCGTTTTTGTGACAACCGATAGTTTTGTTCAATTATTTTTAGCAATTATAATTTATAAAAACAATAATTGCAAACGTATCCATAATACCGAAAGTTTATGAGTTACCAAAAAAAGATTTATTAGACTTCTTCTTTCGATAAATGCGTAGCTTTTGTAGTTAACATGTATTAATATTGAATGCGTAAAACAGGAGTTCAAACTATCTTTTCATTGTTTGATTAGGTTATTGATGTGTCTATTCATCCCATATTCTCTTTTTGCTTACAGATAGGTGTTGTCAAATTTACCATGTATACGTATCAGATAGTCTACATTTTATTGAATCTTTTTGTTACATTTATATTCAGCTCAGTCAAAGTTGTAAAAGTATTTTTTGAGCTTTTAAAATTAATCATCATAACTGATACTCAAAGAATTAAATTGAATTTTTTTCATTTAGGTTTGACCCAATGGCTGATGCAATTGTAAATATGAGTTTATAAAAAATAAAATTATTTTCGTTGATAGATTGGAGTGTTTGTTAGAGGTGGAATGTGGATGGGTTTGGGTTGTTGTTTTGGTGGGCGTGTTTGTGGATATGGGAGTGGTAAGTCTGGGTGTAGTTGTTGCTAAATAGAAAACCCACAGTAACAATAACAACCACATCCATCCAATTTGTTTGATATGTCCCGAAAACCGTGTTTAAACAGTTACAGACATTTACAATTTATTCATTTAAACGGTGATAACGTATTAAATAACTAAATGTTTTTAACTAGTTTAAATGCGTCTTTGAGAATATACTACACTGTTTAAACATCGTTTTTCCCTTTTATTCGTCTGCGTGAGAAGTAGTATTAAACTTTAAGACGATTCGGCTTTCTGAACCTTTACTCTTGAGATATCGAATTTTTACTGGAGTTTTTAATCAAAGCTTGTGATCCTCCTCAAGTAGTCATGAGAATCGAATTTCGAGTTTCGACTTAAAACTTTGCACAGATAGAGCTCTCAATGAACCATCTTAGACTTTGCCACTAATCATCATAACCTACCATCTGAGTACAGTCTCCATCAAAAAGTGATCGGACACTTGGATATGTCTCCTCATTAGCAACATGGCTTTGAAATGTTTTAAAAGATAGAACCTGAATCTCGGCGGAGTGCGGTATATTCATATGGATTTCAATAGATTCGGATGAATTCACTATCGCATTTGTTAGAGTTTTAAAAAAAATTCCTAATATCTTATATTTGAAATTTTGTTTTTAAAGAAAGATGTAGGATCTATGTGTGATTAGTATAAAAATTTAAATGTCAAATTAACTATTCTAAACGGAAACAGATAGAGAAAAACTGAAATGATTGAATAAGAAAATTCTGGAAGTCAATTCAAGGCTTGAAGAATCTTAATGCTGAACGAGTTGTACCACAGAACCCATATCACGAAGCAAACCAATTCATCTCCAGAGATGATTTTTTGTTTTCATTCTATCCCATATCATTCAGAGTCTAGCTTATTATTCTTTAATAATTCATCAATAAAAAACAAAATTCTCATTCAATATTAACGTATTCAAATTTCATCTATCTTCTCTTAGAAAAAATAAATCTCTAAAGAAAGACAAAATTGATTACCTATATTCTTCATTGAAGTGTTTACGAGATTTTTTATCTTATAATCTCCTAACAACAATAATCATAATAACTTTTTTTTTTAGATATATTTGATTAACAATAAGTAATTTGACAGTATATCTAAATGAAATTATCATTTAGCTTACTAAAACTGGCGAATTTTAATCATTCAAAAATTCTTCTCGAAGAAGTATGTACAAGAAGAAAAACTAAATAAATCCTCTTGAGCATCAAAAAAAAAAGTAAATCAAATGGTCGAACATTATTTATATCATGCAGATAATGCTGGAAATTGTGATGTATTAAAATAATTTATTAAAAATCGTGCTAATGTTAATATCAATATAAAATTATACATACAAGACGCACTACAAAAGTTTCGTTTTTGTCAGCCCTTTCAAGAAATGTTTAAAGGCTAATTCTGGTGTTGTTTTCCAAAATAACATTCCTTATCAACAATGCTCTGGTGTATTCGATTAAAATAGACCTTGACGGTAAAGTTTGAGATTATTTTTCGAGAGAATGTTAATGACTGCTTAAAGCATTTATAACATTAAATTGTTGTCGTTGAGTTTAATTTGATGTAGTTAATATTACAGTTTTAGCAGTAAAAAGGAATGATATGAATTTAGATCTGGAGAATATGCTCGATCAACATATACTTCTATATGATTTTGAGTGACAAATTAAAATGTCCATGATCTCTCGTTTGTCGACTACGTTTCTTATTCTCGATTTCCATGATATATCTATGATTTATCACTAGTGATAATGTCGAATAGAAGATAGAAATTGGTCTATCCAAATCATTTTAGTATATGACGAGATGATTAAATATGGATCTATTTTCAGTCATCGATGAGGTAATGATGTACTTATCGAGATCTGAAGTTTCTTGATCCTACCATGTCTGTACTAGAAGAACATGATTTTTCGTGTTCATTGAACTAATTTTCTGTTCATATAAAATCATAGTTCGAAATCGTTCTCGTATGAGTCATTTTAAAAAATAATGTGTTATTGATCTGAAAGAAGTGTACGAATGAGACGCCGTACAAGACTTAAAAGTCGGACATTTTACATATAATCCTAAATATATCTATGTATTATAGTAGAATACTTGACTTTAATATATAACTTTTAGGAAGGCTGAACGAAAAAACAACTTTTATAGATTTTTTTGTGGATAAAGACAAAGAAAGGAGCGCGTAAGAGGTCAAATCGGTTCACTAGTAATTTGGTACTAGTATTATGAAGTTTTTTTTTTATTGTTCTAATAATTCATCCTATCACGGTACATTCAATTCGAGAATAAGCAGACATCACCAGTTGATTGTTTAGTTTAACGAATGAGATATAAATCCGATGTACTGTTTGACACTATTAGCACATATAATATATTTATCATCCACTCTTATCTTTCCATAGACATCTTAGTATAGAAACTGAAATGGCCAAAATTTTCTGGTATTGCTCATTTGATAGTCCTTTTAACAAGTTACAAAATCATATATTTTCTAAAGTGAAATGAAAATTATCACTTGAAAAATTTCTAAACATACTATTGTCCAAGTGCAATTTTATGTCTTTTGAATTAATATTTAGAAGATTTATCATTTGGACATGATAAAGAAATATCGAAAGTTGTATAAAGTTATTAGATGACAAAATGACATAGATCTAGAAAATAAAAGCAAGTTTTTTATTGAATTCATTTTTTGTCTAGTACTGGAAGAAGACCAGGGAGAGATTTTTCGCTGATAACAAAAATTTCCAGAAATTCTTAAAATCATATATAGTTCAATTCGATTTTTTTCTGTTGATTAGAAAGGCACAAAATTACCTCTGAAAAATAATCTGTTTAGGAATTTTTCAAGGAATCAAATCTTTTTTGACTTTAGAAAATACATTATTTTGCAGCTTTTTAAAAGAGCTACCAAACTAGCAATACTAGAACTTTGATCTTTTCAATTTCTAGATTAAGATATTTATTGAAAGATAAGAGCGGATGATAAATAGAATATATATGCTAAAAGTGTCAAACAGTACATCAGATCTATATCTCGCTAAACAAAATAACCAATCGGTGATATCTACTTATTCTCTAATTGAGTGCCCCGTGATAGGATGGATTATTAGAACAATAAAAAAAAACCTCAAAGTGCTAGTACCTAAAATGTTGGTTTCACCATAATCATTCCCTTGATATATAATTCAATGAAATTGACCAAGAAAAATATTAGTGAACTCATTTGACCTCTGATGCACTCCCGTATTTTGTTTTAACATCTCGTCTTATTACTGTCTATAAAAATTAGATTGATTGTATCAATTATCTCATTGAATAAGTTTGTCATAAATTTTTTAATTATGCTTTCGAATGATTCCTATGTAATGTATTCATTCTTTTCTTCGTCGATAAAGTTTACGATTGGATTAATGCGTTGTCGATGGTTATTGAGTAGTTTCTTTTTTTTCTATTCCGAAAACTTGCGTATGTACGATCAATTATAAAATACAGCTCGTTTTGATTTCTTTTTTTTTTATTTCTACAAGGTAAAGACTTTCTTATACAGATAAAACATCATATCGATGAATAAATATTATATACGATATCAGTAATGATGTAATAATAAAACGATAAAATGCACTGAACTTTAAAAAAAAAAAAGAAAAATAAACGCAGTTTACTATTTATAGGACATAAATAAGAATTGTATATTTATTTCTACTGTTTTCTCTCTTTCTTATTGAGGTAAAAAATAATATATTTGTTCTTTCGAAATGTTATGATTCAACCATGCTAACGTCACATCGTCTGTATAATAGTATCTCTATCCATTGGCATAGCACGATAAAAACACATGCATACATGCATTGAGGTTATTGAGTAGAATAAAAAGAAAAAGAAGAAGAATTCTACAACAGCCGCAAATATGTTCCGACGGGACGAATAAACGACCTTTGGCTCAATTCATTCCATTCTCGTAGTCAATATAAGAAAGAAAAAGACAGCGATACTGTTCTTCGTGACCCTTCGAGCACCATAGTAGTGTGATCACGTTGCATTCGACACGAGACATCGTATGATTCATCAAGAAAAAGCAAAAAGAACGTCATGAAGAAGAAAAAGAAAAAGAACGAGAATTTACTCGATATATTCACATATATATATATATATACGCAGGCTGCATCGACGAAGAACACAAGAAAGCATTCACTCCGCACATACACAAACACAACAAGAAAAAGAGTATAATAAGTACAAAACTTATTTTATTATTATTATTATATATTTTTTCAATATTAAACAAAATATGGTTCGTGAAGCTGATATATTATCAAATGAAACATGTTCAATTGAATATATTGCATCGAAAATTGTTGATGCTGATGGTATACAATTTGAAGATTTACCAACAAAAAATATTGAAATATTTCAACATCGAACAAATATAACAGATGATGAATCAGGATTTTCTGAAACAACAACTACATCAGCATGTGCATCACCTATTCAAACAATAACAAATGATGATTATGAAATAGCATCAAAATTATCTGATGAAAGTAAAAAAGAATTTTGTTCGGATATGTGCTTAGTATTTCATGCTGAATTTCAATTAACATTTGGACGTTATTTTACATCTGATCAATGGATATTAGTACCATTAGGTGCTGATGGTACGTGTAAATTATCACCAGATGCATTATGTGATGTTGAAATAGCAAAAGTACGTTTTGAATGTGATGAATGTGAACATTGTTGGACATCAATGCGTGGCCAAATATCATTTTTTTATGATTGTCAATCACATATACTTTATTTTAAATTATTTACACAAAATTGTGATCAATGTGGAAAATTTTCAACACCATTGTGGTATCCAGAAGAAGTTTGTCGTGTAATTAAAAATGTTTTTGTTATTGTTCAACAACATATGTATCCTGATCTAAAAACACCAATACAATCAAATTATTATCGTCGTGTTGGAAATCCAAAAGGACAACATCATGGATGTCAATCATGTCGAGATGGTGTTTGTGTAGCATTGGCTGCACAACAACTTGGATGTAAACTTGTTAAGTAGACTGACTTGGTTTTTTTTTCCATCGTGAATATCTTATACCTTTCTCGGTGTGTCTAGTCACCTGGTTTCTTTTTTTTCTTCTTTCTACCTTGATTGTGTTTATATGTACATATTTAAGAGCACATTATGTTTTGGTTTTTTTTTGGCTCATGTAATTTTTTTTAAAGTTTGTCTAAACTGTAGATTTTTTTTTTCCTTGTCGTCTTCATCCATTTTCCTTTTCGTTGCTATCGTTCATTATGTATTTTTGTTTGTTATGCATTATATGATAAACATATAAATAGTTATTACATCATTTTATTTGATCTATACAATGCATAAACTTATTAATTTTGAAAAATCAAAAAAATCGTTCATTTTTTCAATTTTCAAAAGTTTGCTTTATTTCTGTGTTGATATTAATGATAAAAATCTAGACTACATTCCATACAAAAAATGTTTTACAAAAGACAAAATATTTCTATTAATTATCAAACGAAAGAAAATCGAACAAAAAGTACAAAATGGTAGCTCAGCGCATACTCACTGACCTTTTATCTTCCTGTCAACTTGAAGTAACTCTCTCTTTTTTTTTGTATGAAAAAGAAGAAAAAAAAAACACGCCATTTTATTTCCCAATCAAGTACCATTTTATCAACCTTGATTGATTTTGATTGTAATTTCAAATTTAAAATCTATATAAAAAATTAAGACAGTTAAAATGTCGTATAAATTTTGCTATGTGATACGAATGGTAAATATTATCATTAGAAATAAATTATCGTGTGAGACAGACTCAAACTTTATATTAACTATCATGAAAAAGAGGTCAACAAGTGTATTATTACGTATGCTTGTTTTACTTCATGATTTAGTAAATAAAAACAACAAGAAATGTATTTTCATTAGTAACTATACAAGATGAAGTTGTTGAGTAAATTAACATAATATTTATAACTTCTGGAAGAAAAGATAAAACAATATATTGTATGTAAATAGAATTATTATTTTATGATAATATGGATAAATTGATATAAAGCAACTTCAGCTATTACTATTCATTTATGTTGAAAAATTTGAAAAATGATAGATAATATGTGTCAAAATAAATAAACAAATAATATTATCTGCATGGAAGAATCTTGTTTCTTTTATTTTAGAATTTTGTATTTATTTTTAATTAATAACCTAGAAGCAAAAAGAAAATTTTTGATAGGCAAGTTTTATATTATCATTAATCTGAGAAAGAAATTGTTTGCAGCAGAATATTAATTGGAATGTCTAAAGGGAAAATAATAGTATGAATGACAAATATTCTTTTTAGATTATATGTAATAGCTTAGTGCTTAATTCTATATCAAGTAGAAAATTTATTCTAGTTTTTTAAATGTAGGTCATGAAAGCTAACGTCATCTATTTGTCATAATCATGTTACTACGAGTTGTCAAAGAAACCGAAGAGAATATATATAGAAAAATGGCGTATGCATTTAACTGATGATGAGCGAATACTGCAGGAAAGAAAAGAAAGAGAAATGCCATAACTTATTCTGTTTCATGTCAATGAAAATCTGTCATTTACTACTTTATGAGAATTGGCAGGTTTATATAAATCATTCAAATAAAAAAATGACAAACTTTACAGAACACATAATCTTGCACAGAAATTCAATTCATTATAAAGTTTTTAAAGACACTGACATACTGTTGATAATATACATGAAACAAATATATTTTGATTCTCCTAAATTATAAAGCTTCATATATGCTTGTTCTGCTATTCTTAGATTTGATATAAAAAAAAAAGCATATTTGAATAGTTTGAGCGTGTAATTACATTTCATTCTTTTCTTTTTCTTTGATAGATGAGAGGGAGGAGACGAAGAAGAAGAAAAAGAAATTCTCAAGTTCAAACAGAATTTGATAGTATACAACTGAACAATTTTTATGGATTTATTTACAAGAATGTTCCTTCTTTTTCTTATTCTATTTGCTCGTATTTTAGATAATATAAAATGTCGTCGAAACTCGAACGACCATCATCACTTCATGATTTAATTGATGATATTATTGAAACACCATCATCATCTAATCCAATATCTTTTCGCTTGAGAAATACTTCAAAAGCACTACAAAATCGAAATTATTTAAGTTTTTCAAGTATACCATCATTATTTGATAAATCGAGATTTGAACAAACAGGTCATTCATTAATAACATTAACAAATGAACTTCATGATCATGCTCATGTAACATTACCACGTTCTAATTCATCAATAATTTCAATGAGTAATGATGACCGACGTAAAGAAATTGATCTTATTATAAAATATTTATATGATGGAAAATTATTAACAACAATTAATGATGATCATGCTGTGTCAGATGTTTCAGATCCATCAATGCATATGTTAAATAAAGGACCAATAACAACAACAACAACAACAACAACACCAATAGTCAAAAATGATGAGGAAAACAATAATAATGTTGGAAATATTGATGTAAGCATTTTAATGAAATTTAAAAGAGAAATATTAATAAGCAATGAGAAATAATAGAGAAAGAAATGGTAGATTTTGAAGTTTTCAGAGTATCGAGACTCATAGAACGCTTGTAAAAGTCTATTATAAAAACAGAACATTCTTAATTTGATGTACAATTTATTCTCTTGATAGATACTATAGTCGAAAGAAGATGATTTATAACTGAACATTTTCTAGGATATGTAACATATAGAGTTAATATGGTTAAAAAAAACGTTTGTTAACAGAGACGAAATGAGGATTACAAAGTTTTCAATTCTGTGAATTGTAACTGCATGATAGAAAGAATGAAGTCTTCTAAAACTCAAGTTAATCTTTCCTTCGGTTCTCCTTATAAAAGAAGTCAACAGTCATCAGAAATGTCGATATTGAAATCAATGCCTGAGATTTGAAACTTTCACATATAATATGATTTGTTTTTTAATTTGGCGTTTCATTTCTTATCAAAATTTTTCGATGATTTTCGTTTTTTCTCTATTTATGCTTTTCTGACAGCGCATCTCAGAATTGTTGACAGAGCTTCATTGAAGTCAATTGCATTTTTTTTTGTTCGAAAGTACATATGATGCTGCAGTACCTGATAGAATTGGTTTTTTTTGAATTAAGCTTTTTTATTATAATATAAAAAAAGCACTTCTGTAAATAGATGACCATTTTTTGAGAGGTTTTCAAGGTATTGAACTTGTCATACTTTTTCTTCGTATAAAAGAGTAAGAATAAAAAAAAACGAAAGGTTTCCTTCAGGCACTGTAGTTTGGCATGCTCTTTTTAAAAAAAATTAAACATATAAAATGCGGACCCACAGAAAATGTTGTGTCGTCTGATGAACTATTTTCGATGGTTGCTTGATGACTATTTTCCGAGAATGTCATGATATAGGGTTGAAAGTTTTAATATAGCCCTAACATACTGTGAAAATTTCGTGTGATTCTAAAGTACTTGACCCCAAATCAATTTTTTGATTACGGTTACCTTAACCGACCGAAGATCAATCTCTGCCTGTGATAATCAGTGGACGACATTTCAAGGGTATCAGATCATTCTTTTGAAATAAAAAAAAAAATTGAATAAATCCTTCTACACCTTATCGATAAGTAATTTCTTTGTTATATAGCTAGACTCTCAAAAAAAGTAATTTTCGATATATTTATTTTTTCGAAAAGTCAAACACTATTCCAGCAAATCAACATTGACCTCATTTTTTTTTCATAGTAATAAACTTTGTTTGAATCAAATAAATACAATCATAAATAGAAATATTCGGAGTTTATATATCCTATCATTCACAGATATTGATTTTAAAATACTAAAGATTAATTCTATTGTTGATATTACATAAGCAATTGAGGGTTACATATTCTTCAAATCAATTGACAGAGAGAAAATTAATTTTGTTCATATGAAAATTTACTCTTATTCTATGTACTTCAAATATCATCAATTAATTTTTCTTCATTTAAGTTCATCTATTTATTAATAACTCTAATATTATTCTAACTTCTAACTATGATCATGTTTTAGTTCCTACCACTTGATATTGATACTTCAACACTTCAACGAGAATTACAAGAAAAAGAACTCGATATAATCCATTTACATAAAGAAATTCAAGAATTACAACTTGAAAATAAATTACTCAAAGCAAAAGTACCAACTGTTTATTCAAACGATTACGCAAGTGTATGACATATCTGAATACTAAAAAAAAAGAAAAAACTTGACTTTCAATTGTTTGTTTATATATTTATATGTAGAATAATAGTGAAATAGAAGCACTTCGTCGTGAAAAAGAGATTTTACAAAATGAACTACATACATCACAAGAATTAATTGCAAAATTTCAACAACAACAGCAACATTCTGTACGTTCGAACAAAATCGATGAAATCACCTTACAACAAAAAGAAATATTAGAAAAAAAATTAAGTTTGTATTTTGTTTTGTCTAATTTTTTTATTTATTTATTTAACTTTTTTATTGTATAAAAATATTCATCTGATTAAAGAATTTTATGAAAAACAGATGCGTACATTAACCGATGAAAATGAAAAATTAAAACAAAATTTGCATCAAACTGAACGAATCATTGCACAATATAAACGAGAAAATGAAGAATTACAACAAAAAGTAATTATCAATAATAATCATACGAATTTATAATTAAAATTATTTTGTTGTTTTTTTCTAGGTAACTGAAGCTAAAAAACATAATGATGAATTATTTTTTCAAGAATTTAATTCATTTCGAAATGATTTAAAGTATAGTTAGAATAGATTAATGTCTATTTTAATAGAATAAAAGAATTTCTTTTTTTTTTAGAATGCTTAAACAACGAAATAATGAATTATGTGAACAAAATCTTCGTTTACAACAAGAAAAACTAAATTTTTCTTGGCATTCATCTACTCATGAACAACAACAACAACAACAACAACAAATGCCATCTTCATCATCATTAAAAATATCTAATTCAGATACAAAAAATTTGAAAAGTAAATAAAATTCAATATTTATATTTTCACTATTCAAATAGACGAATCATTCAAATTTCATTGATGACTTTTATTGAATTCTTACATCACATTTTAAATTAAATATATATCAGTGTGTAGTATTCGATGAGTGAATGCTGTCATAAATCATTCTTCATTTTTTTAACTCTATAAAACATCAAATTAACTCTTCGATTACTCATATCTGTGTGCTAATCACTACAGTTGTGATATATAAGTCCTTTCTTTGCTATTTATTTCCATAAATTGTTTTCTTTCTAGTATTTGTTAATGAACGAAAGATTTCATAGGCTTACAAATCCCTATATTAGCTTTTCGTGTTCATTAACGATTCATCTGACACGAACATTAATAATTAGTTGGATATTTAATCTGTTTCTCACGTTAGATTTATTTTGTTATCTTTCAAATCTATGCGAAATATATGTTATATATAGAGTCTTACAGAGTCAAACTTTTTGACTCCGAAACTCGATTCTAAGTAACTTCGGGAAATTTTTTTGATTACTATGTATACTTCTTTTTATGCTATTTGTTAAGACGAGAACGTCTCTCTAATACTTTCTCTGAAACTTATGAATCAATAAAGTAGTGTACTTTTGTTCACCACTTAACATATGAAAAATAAACTTATTATTATATAAGAGTAAATATACTTGAGTGCTTTATTAATGCAACTCTGACAGAGTTGAAGTCGAGTTTTACAGTTCGATGCAGGATTCTATTTATAAACAGAGGGGGAAAAATAAGTAAATCTATAATAAACTACAATGTTAATCAATTATGCAATTTTGTTTTCATAATATAATTTGATCGAAAAATGTGTTGAAAAAAAAAAGTATGTTATGATGAATTTCAACTAACAAGGAAAGTTCTCCAGCTAATAAATCGTTTTTTAGTCGAGACTACGTGCATTGTGTAGGATAAAAGTAAATCAAATCTTTAGTAGAATAGTCTCCGACATCAGTAAAAAGTGTTAGATTTGTGAAAAAAAATTATAGCAATCGGGAAACAAAAAGTTGTTTCTACTAAGCTCCATCGGGTATTTATCATTATTAGTTACAACTTATGTGATTTCTTTTTATAATTTCTAATATAATATAATTCATACAGTTTTACAACAAATGAAAAATTTTACTTCATTGAACTTCATTTTCCCGATGTATATATATTTCTTTCGTTAACTCTTTGGTTACCGACCAAGGACAAACATGCATAAAATAGAGTGATTATACACCACGCATGTTTGTGTTTTCTTACCTTAAGAGTTTAGCATGAATCGACCGTAACAAAATGATAATGTAGAAAGCTCATATTGCTTGATATTGTCATTTACTCAAATGTATCTAACAAACGAACATTATAGGTGTTTGCATTAGTTTCAAGAGATGATTAAGTGCATGACGCTTATATGCATCATCAGTAATCAAAGGGTTAGTAAGAGAAAAATCAAGTGTAAATATTACTTAATGTGAGCATGTGCCAATGGAAAAAAAATTTGCTTGTGTCTTTTTTTTTCTATAGTTTCTCGAAGTGAAAGTCCAAATATATCTGAAGCAAGTGATTCAACAAATTATTTAGCAACAGTTAGTATTGATCGTTATCATACTCGGCTTTCACCATCTGCACATCGTTCAAGAACAGTAGATGAAAATCATCATTGTTATCGTACAAAAAAGTACAATTCATTTATTGGACACGAAGATATTCATCGAAATAATTCAATGACACCTTTGTCGAAATCTGTTGATCAACAATTCAATTTTCATTCATCAAAAATTCAACGTGCTATTCAATGGAATGAAGAAAATATCCCAAAAAATGAAGGTAATAGTTTATCATGTTGAAAACATCAACTATAGAATCTTTTATTCTTTCTTTTGCTTTATATATTCTCTTAATCATTTATATTTATATTACTAAGATAGATTATTTCTATTAGATATTACAAATTATGATGATGATCATCAAACTATAAATAATACAAAATCATCATCACATTTTTATCAATCAAATTATCCTGTTCATCGTAGTATGACATTTAATGAACATCAACATCATTCACAACGATCAATGAATAATGATACGAATAATCATCGAGATGGTATTTTGTTTATTTAAATTTTCATTTTTTCTTTTTTTTTAGTAAATTTTTTCTTTTCTAATAGATCGTCGTCAAAGTCGAAAACATATTGAAATCGCTACGTAAGAAAAATTAATATTGAACTGAATAAATATGATTTTTTTTGTTTTTGATTACAGTCCTCGACGTCCATATGCTCCATTATCTATTAGTGATATTCATTTAAATGATTTAATAAAATTTACTCGACCAGGTGGTAAAATAAGTAAAGGTATTGTTAAATATATTGGATCATTACCTAGTAAAACTGGTCAATATCTTGGATTAGAATTAGAAAATGAAGGTAAAAACAAAAATACAAAATTTTTCTAATATAGAAAAAAAATTTTTTTTTTTAAAGAAAGTAAACATGATGGAGTTTATCAAGATAAACGATTATTTCAATGGTAAAATTAAGAAATTTTATATAGAAAATGTATTGATTTTTATTTCATATTTAGTAAACCAAATAAAGGAATATTTATTGGATTTAATAAAGTAATTATGGCATGGAGTGGAACATAAATTCTTTATATACAGATCTGATAACCGTATTTTTATCTTTTGTTTTACTTTTCGACGTTTTTTTTGACAGGGTTTATTGTTAAAGTAGATAAAAACTAATGTGATTTTGTTTTCTTTGTGCTTCTTATAATCTCATCTTCAGTAGTATAGCTTGTTCGAAATATACAGTGATAATTTCTTTTTCTTAAATGATTATATAAACCTCATTCTCTATAAAATTTTATATAAATTTTGGAAAGTAATTTAATATTCTCCTGAGCTTGTAGAACATGTTATGAAACATCAAAGACATATTCTCTAAAGTATAAGATCGTAATAAATGTATACTTTAAAAAAAACAGTAATATCATACTGACTTTCTTTTTCCAACAAAAGAGTTAATCTCAAGGACAGGAACCGCGTGATTATGAAGGGTTGGGAGAGGATATTCACTTTTGCTTTTATCCATTTGCATCATCACTGCTTAAATATTCAAATTGTGTTGGTTTACTGAATAATCACATAATTCAAAAAAGAGGAACTAACAATGGACGAGTGTATTTTGTAACTCAAGAATATTGAATATATTCGGATCAAATTAAACATCTTATCGGCAAGGTAACAAAATTACAAAATATGAACTGCTTATTGTGAAGAATTGGAAGAGTAGCTCTATTGCTACTCTCGATAATGATGTTTATTGAACTATTTCATCATTCCAGTCGTATCTACATCAATACAAACATACATCATCAAGGTCAACACTAGAGAGAAAAGAAGTGAAGTGTAACGGTCAATAAACGTTATACTTATGATGTACACGAATTGAGATATTCAAATCTTATGGTATTTACAATGTAAATAATGTGCCGAAAATTCAACATTTCAACAGGATTTTATTTTATGTCTCACAATATACGTCAGAAGCAGCTTCTATGTTAAATTTGTTAGCTTGCCGATGAGACTTTTAATTTGACTCGAATGTGTTCAATGTTCTTAAGTTACAATAAATAACCTTCCATTGTAAGTTATATTTACTATGTGCTTTTCGAATTCATTCATTATAAACAAGTTTTTATATCAATCAAGCAAAATGATTTATTATTTATAAAATAAAGTTTTATTTTATTTAAAAAAAAATATAGATATAAAAATATTGTAAAACTAAGATATATTTATTTTGTTACCAATCACATAGATGATAATCTTTTAGAAAACATCCGTACGGAATATCAATATCAATTTTACCTTCAGCTAATTGACGATAAGTATTAATAATTGGATCTAGAACACGTGCTGCTGCATCTTCTTCATCAAGTGGTGTTTGAAAATCGTGTTGAATCATAACTTGAAATGCTCTTTCTATCGGTTTTTCATCATTAATCCAACCTAAAAGATTTTAAAAAAAAACACAATTTATTTTTTTTTTAAAGACCTTTCACATAATAGCGACACGTTTCAAGCCATATTCCGACCATCTTCATCTTTCCTTCAATCTTGATTAATTTATTATAGAATTTCATGAGAAATTGTTTGGTAACAAAATGCAACCTATTTCCAAAGAGTCAACACGCACTTTTACTCAAAATACTGATTTTTACTTTTGTATCAGAGGTGTATGATTTGCACATAGAAGTATGAGACATTTGAAATCGAAAATTATTGGAAACAATTACCCATCTTATAGTACATCTCTGATAAAAGTTTTAGTTCGAACAGTTGAAGTCTTGCTAAATAATGGCGTAGAGGTTGTTCGTAATGAGTAAGAAAATCATATAGTTTTCAACTTTCACAATATCTCGAGAAAGAAAAAAACCACATAAGTTCTCGCTTGATTCTACAAGTTCGAAATAAGAGTTACAAAACGATACACGTACTTTTCAGTTTTTTTTTGAAGATAACCTTTGTTAAATAAGAGGACTTGACTTTCATTTAAATATTATTTCTTGCATTTGTGACTGATATTTAATAGATTTCAGTCAAGAGTAATAATATATTGGAAAACAGTACAAAAAACAACTGAGTCGACTTATTCTTTTTTTAAAGTTTTTTTGTCGTACTTTTTTTCCTCGAAAAATTTAGCTGGAGTTCCCATCAAGGCCTAGCAAAAAAATCATTTGAACAATGGAAAACATGTTCTCAGCTAGTAAAACGATATCTGTAGACAAATGAATAGATAAATGAAGAATAAAAATGGTGTAACGCTTAAATTTATGTTTTGATGAACCATGACGGGAAATCCAGCTAAATTTTCCGAGGATAAAAAAGTATGACAAAAAAACTTTGAAAAATGTATAAGACGACTCAGATATTTCTATGTGTAAAACATATATTTTTGATATTAAAGTAAAACTCAACATTTTGAGCAAAAGTGTGTGTGAGCTCTGTAGAAATAGATTTATTTTGTTACTAAAACATTCTTCGTGAAATTCTATATTAGTTTAGTCATGATTGAAGGAAAATCGAAGATGATTTTTATGTATCTCTGTTCTTTTAACTAACCTGTATCAACAGAAACCATATAAATATTTGAATTTTTATAATCACTTGCTGATGTTCGTGTCATCATATTTAATGCTGCTTTTGCTGCATTTGTATGTGGATGTCGATCAGTTTTATTTTTACGAGAAAATGAACCTTCCATAGCTGAAACATTAATAATAAATTTTTTACTTTCAGGATCTGGATGTTTATCAGCCATGAGAACTTTTAGTTTACTATTTAGAATAAATGGTGCCAATGTATTTATAGTAAGTACTTCATTTATTTCAGTAGTTGATAAATCATCAAGACGTAACATCCACGAATTTGTTGAACGAAAATCAATTGGTTGTTGATTAACATCAAATAAAGTGTTATTAATTATTGAAGGTGCTTTAGAAATTTCATTTGAATCTTCTATAGACGAAGGTAGAGCAAGTGATAATGATGAAGATGATTGATACAAAAATCGATTGAATGATGGCAATAATCGTTGATAGAATTGCAGATTTCCATCTAGCATTTGTTGATGATCATTTGGTAAAATCGCATAATTTATTAATCGTTCATTATTAATTAAATGTTGATAAAATTCTTTTGGTCGTTGAATAGTTTGACAAGCATTATTAATTAGAAAATCTAATCGATCGTATTTATCAATTAACATTTGTGTAAATTGTTCAATTAATTGTGAATAACGAAAATCTACTCCATATATATGTATACGGTTTTTCCATTCATTAAAATCATGTTCACTATTTAAACGATTTAAAAAATCCATTGGAAATCGACTTGTAGCTATAACAAAACAATTCGCGCGTAATAATTTTAAAACAATTCGATAACCAATTTTAACTCGACCACCAGTTACTAAAGCTATACGATTTGATAGATCAGTTGTTTGTAAACGTTTTTCAAAATTAAGTTTTGCACATGCTGGACAAAGACGATCATAAAAAAAATGTAATGTACGATATTTAAGTTTACATATATAACAATTCTTTGGCTGAAGAAGTCGTTGCGGAATATTTGATAATGAAGAATTTTCGCTTTTAATTTCTGGCTTTGTTGATTGAATCTGTACAGTTCCATCAGGTACAAGAATATGTTGTAATTGAAGTTGCTCAAGTTTTTTTTCTCGACCAGAACGAAGTAGACATGAGTTTTTTGTTTTTTGATCAATTTGTTTTGTTTGACGGCGTTCATTTTGTAATCGTTTCTTTTTTATTCGTTTTTCCGCGAGGAATAAATCATGAATTAATGGTCGAAGATTATTAAATTCATTTGATTCAAGTAATGGATATGCTGTCTTAGAATTAAATTTTTCAAGAACCTCAATACATGTATTTAAATCATTAACAGAGATTGATAATGATGATGATGATGATGATATTGGCTGATTGATTGACATTATAATTCTTTTCTGCTTATAGAAACAAAAAATTGTTGACTTTTTATTCGACTTTTTTTTGATGATGTAAGAATACGAGTGTAGCTGATGTAAAAATATAGAAACTTAAGATATGTTTAATTATGTAGTCATAGTGTAATTTCGCAACAAATATGATCCTACAAAGAAACAGTGTGAGCCAAACCGGAGTCCATTAGTCCACATTATACCGATACATACACTATACAGACTTATCAATAGCTGTCCGTAGCTGTCAACCAAGTGTTCTATCAGAGTTTTGAATGAAATTTTTCGTACCTTTTAGCTTATTGAATTTCAAGAGAAGATCAACTTACTATGTGTTCTTCTACTACGAAAAATAGAGAATACAATATTGTAAACTCAAACTAGTCAATGTTTATATATAGTATATTAGCAATTATTAAAATCTTAGTCGAAATCACGTTCCTAACTGGCTGTGAACGCGCTTGAATCGCTTGTTCCAACAATATCGACTGTTTTGACTCATTTTACGAGTTTGACTGCTTAGTATAGATGATATCATAAAATTATTCATTAGGGGAAAGATACAAGCAAAGAAGTAATGGTAACGTCATCTAACATAACACGCTTTAACCCATAGAAGTGTTCTTTTTCAGAATCAAATCGATATTTTCATGGCAGACGAAACCATAGTAATAGAAAAAATAATCAAGAATTGGTGTAAGAAGAGTAAACTGCATGAATCAATGTTTTTTTGGTAACCATAGTTAACCGTCAGTTTTGACGAAAATAGACGACATGGATTATTATTCCGAGTAGTATCAAGCCGTCTATACCAGCCATAGCAGCTGCTTTCGCTTAGTTTTCGAGTCTGATAATTTTCTATAGACAGTACCACAATAATAGTCATTGGTTAGCCAGAAGACTTAACCAGTAGAAAAAAAGTGAAGCGCATCTGTCATCTTTGGTATATTAAAATCCACTTTTGTGAGTAGCAATTGACTTCTTCAAGACACAATATTTTTATTTAGTAGAAGGATGAAAACAAATTCGATACAAAAGAAGTAAATCGCACGAGTTGGCGATTTTTTTATGAACCATGTGGTTAACTGTTGGTTTTGATGAAAAATTGACAACGTGATGAGGTTCTGAATGTGCATTCCCAATATATTAGATGTAACTACTTGCTTCTTGTTTGATAACAGCAATTTTATCATTATAATGACTAATCAATAAGACAACAATTGGTGCATAACAATATTCATCATTCTTAACGTCGGTCAATTTGATTATATGTAGAATCAAATACATTCTATAGTTGAATACTTCGATCATAACAGTCTAAAGTGTCAACAATATGTTAATTCTTATTTGGTAGAACTTATTTTAAATGAACTGTTTAAGCACAAAACGTTGAATCAACTTTTAGAAAAGTTTTTGTTAAATGATGAATGAACAGTAGAAGCAACAAAATGGCTTGAAGAACGTTTGCGGAACAAGTAAAATGTGTTTTGTAGAAATAATAGAACTTTTTTGAACAACAATACAATAGAAATTAACTCTTTGTTTTGTTCTTTTCAAAGACTAATCCTTTTTTTTTTATATCAAAATAATTAATTTTATTAACATCTATTTTAAATATTATCATCGTAAAACTGATAAATTTTCAATAAATAAAACTCAATTTTATCTGGTTTTCTCGTATCGTCTACGACAATGGAAAAAATGTCAAATAGAAAAATAGAGACTGAATATGAAACAATTTTTTCATGTAAAACAATATATTTATATAAGGATGGCATGCTTTTAATGTTTATAAAAAGAAGATCCAATAGTAAATGAAATGTATTTTACAATTTCATACTAAATAGTTCAATTCATAAGAGAACGTATGAAATCAAATAGATCATTAGAATAAAGATGAAAAGCTGATAAATACAAATGGAAGAATGACTTTCTCTAGGCATTCGTATATCTATATTTGATTCATGTTAATAAATCGTGTGATTAAGATAATTTCTAACATTCGTATAAAAATAACAGTCAAATAATGGAGACAATTATTATTAAACAAAATGGACATTTTATAAAAATTTGTTTATACCTCTGAATCTCAATATTTTTTGTCGAATAGTTACAATAAGTAGAATATTCTACATCGATCTTTTGTTTTGTCAGCATCCGGCACTACTGGATAAACAGTAATTTTATTATTCAAAGTTAGCTTGGAGAAGAATATTTGATTAGTTGATGAATGAAGAAAATTAGATGTACAACGACATGAATAATAATAAAACTAAGTTTTGATGCTAGTAATAAGATTATTATTCATTTCATCAAATGCATGATTTGTTTCAATAATCGAGCAAGCATCTTGACGAGTTGTACATGATGTCATATTATCTTGTCAAAATTGGAGACGTATCTAATTAACACTGAGTAAGCTCATGAATGAAATTGAGTTTATTCTGATCATGAATACGCTGGAAAATTAGATACTTGAAACGATTGAACCATTTATGAGTCAGCTTCTAGAAAAATAAAACAACAGATAATATATATCTTTTTTTTGAAAAATAAAGCGAGTTTAGAAAATCTAATTTTTTGAATAGAGGTATAAGCACTGAACACTTACGGCTATGCGCAGATAGAGACGTCGTAATTGTTCATTATCACCGATTAATCTTTTATATATTTTTGTGGACCAACTTTTTTATTTTGATTGCTGGTGCCATTTTATTACTTTCACTTAATGATATAAAACTATTAAGACATACTAAGTCATAAACAGCTACTGATAGACGTCTTATCGCAAGTCAATTTGGGAATTGAGCAAGTGAAAGTATACTAGGTGATATGTGAAATTTAGTATCTTTTAAGAATAATTAATATTGATAATGAGTACTTATGGCCATTAAACAACCTTGATGTGACGAATAATTGATGCATTACACGATGCACAAAGTAAATAGAATGCCGTAGATGCTAAAAATCCATGAAGTTCATATTAATGAATTAAACTAGCCCTACGTCCATTGACTAGACTTGGTATTATTGTGACATCCATGTTTACTGTCGATTGACAATTTTTGTATGAGTCAACTTTGTTAACAATAAGATGATATGGTACAGTAATCGTATAAGAATATGTTCAAGAATAAATGTACAACGTTAAGAAAATTCATTTAATTCATTGGCTGATAATAAGAATGTAATCGTTGTTGAATGAATATTATTTGCTGTTGAATTTAACCATTCTTTAATAAATGTTGAAATTACATTAGGTATTGAAGAAACATTAGATGTTTATAATGGGATAGAACGATGATTACCAACATAATTTTCTGTTGAAAGAATTAATTCAATAGTAATGCATATCCAGTCAGACGATAACGAAGGTAGTTTAAGATTGATATTCATTTTTTTTCTAGATGTGAAAAGAGATGAAACAAGATCAGTTAACACTAAAATTGTCAGTGTATAGATGTGTCTGTCTTCTTCACTCTTATCTACATCTACACCCTTTTCTATATGTGTAACTTTGTAAGGAATACTCTATTTTTAAATTTATCATGAATGTAATCGAAGAGGCGTGTTTTAATTAAATGGTTTTTTATAAAGAAAAAAAGTTTTATTACTGTGTTTTATCACTGTTATTTTGAAACTTATGAGGGAACCTCCTCACATATGTCCTTCCGATTTTAATATTATTTTTTGTTTATAAGTACTACATAGTGTTCTGGTGAAAATTCTAAAGAGATTTGAGTTCCTATTGAAATTTTCAGAAGTTATCGATTTTTTTAAAAATATCTATTTCCAAGAAATTCTTGTAGGATTTCCGGTTTTCGAGAAAATCGTCTTGTTGAATTTAGTTCGAAAGCTTCTTTCACTTAATAATCTCATATGCACGAATTTGTACAGAGAGTATCAGCATTTTAAGACTTTGTATTTCAAAGATATGGACTATTCAAAACATTTTTATATTGACTATTGGATGGAATGTATGTCATTCACTCGAGTAATCAATGAAAGTATATGCATTCAAATTTGGAAAACAAAGAGCTATTCAATATGATAATAAATCGGTTAATACTTCTTAAAGTAGAAACGACGAAAAAAAAAGTGAATGTAATTTATTGTATCTTAGATAACATGTACTATGATTTCAAATTGACCATCATCATTGGTTAAGTTGAAAATGAGAAAGTAATGAGTAAACTTATTCTTTCTTCGTTGTCTTTTTCTTCTAGTACTTTTATTTCCCTCTTTTATTTGTAATCGAATATGTTCGTAAAGAAACAATTAATTTGAATCAGTAAGTAAACGTACTCAGTTCTTGTTTCTCTTTTTCTATTACATCAAATCTGTATTTCGAAGAACATGTTGAAATATTTCGTCATTAGTCTACTTCTTATTTCCAGTAATTAGATTTAAAAAACCTGTAGATAAAATTTGAATCTTATTATTTTTTCTTTAGACATTATCTTTCCGATTGACGCTTCTATTCGTGTTTGTAATAATGGTGCTTATTTAGCAAAATGTTACCTTGAATCACGCCCTCCAAATTATTGGTTTCGAGTTCGTCATTATGAGACAGGATTATTTCCTGTTGCTCAATGTTCAACAATAGATATTCCTATGAATGCTGTTCGGAATCGTCTTGAATGTAAAGCACTTGCTTTTATTGCTGTTTATAAAAGTATTTTTGTACAAGAATTTGCTTCTGCTATGTTTAATTATTGTTATGAAATTACTGGAACTACATTGAATCCAAAATGGTCACAAACACAATGTTAATTAATATATATAAATTAATATTTTTAATTTTCTTTTTTAGATTTTTTTTAAAGATGCTCTCTTTGTATTAATTTATATTTAATAAAAACAATGCTTACAAAAAACTTCTTTATATAGATAGAAGATGTGATCAATAGCACTACGTGATTAAATTCCATAAGTTTTCTATGGCCTATTTTTTTTTCAGACAGTCAATGTGTAACAATGAATTATTTTTTTTTTCTTTCTAATTATTAGAGGAAATCAGGCGTAGAAGAGGGAAATCATAATGTTCATGCCATCATACTATCATTTTCTACAGAATAGAATTATAGTATTCACATTTTATGGAGTTCATTAAGGACAACTATGTAAAAATAAAGAAACAATACAGCTTGATTAGGTCGATCTATTCAAAGCTATAATTGTTGAGTGACTATATATGAGAATTTGTTTTTCTCGCGAGAGAGTGAATAATATTAAGCAAAAAAAAAACGTGCTGAGATAGCATTGCGCTATTGATGAAGGCAAAAGCTCATTATATAGAACGGCCGAAAAAATCCATCACACGTGGTAAATATAGATAAAAACAATAACAAGACAATAACACGTACAATCATAATAAGAATAAGAATAACGTTTCATTTGTTGATTCGTCCATTGTAAGTTATAATATGCCTATCCCAAATATACTTGTTTAAAATCGTTGACGAAATAGAAATTCAATTAATAATTTATAGCAAGTAAAAGCTATAAAATAGGAGTCAAGGATGTTTTTCGTTTAAACGTCTTAATTGCAGTTCTCGTTTGAGAGTTTTTACATCTATTGAAAAAAAAATCACCAAAACCAGCTATTTTCATCATAAAAAGTCCGTGAAGACACTTTAAAAGAGCAATTTTTTCATCTGGAAAAAGTGCAAACATTTTTTCTCACAATATTTCCCAGGTAAAAACAACTTTTTTGCGTGATGTATGTCAAAACATGCTATGAGAAAATTTTTTGAACGCTTTTAAACGTCTTCACACGTCTTTTATGAAGGACATAGCTGGTTTTGGTGTTTTTTTCTCAACGACCATGAAAATACTCACATGGTAATTATAATTAGGATATTATCGATAACTAGTGTCATCTATAAAGAATTCATATTTTTCAAATGTGATCTTAATCAACACAATAGTAGACATAATCTATGTTATGTTTCGTTGATCGATTAACCATTTAATAAAAAGACACAGAATATAATGAATCATTACTTATAATTCTCATACTTATCGACCGTCTTTCTATCTGATTTAACATTTCATTTTAGATCTCTATTCTTTTTCTTTTTTCTTGCACCGGTGAACAAACAAAATAGGATATATTCAAAATGACAACTAGTGATGGCGTCACAATTCGTCATCCAGGAATATCAATAACTGATATTCATCCACGTTTAGATGTTGATACAATATCAATTCTTAGTTCTCAATCAGATAGTATTCAGCATCTATCTTATAATGAATCAGATGATGAAGGAAAAGGTTTAGTTAATTCTAATATATCTCGTTTAAATGACACAATTAATCAAACATATCAACCATCAGCATTAAAAAAAGATTGGATTATGTATTTAACAAAACCAACAAATGGTAGTCATGATAAACATCATCAAAGTTCAAGTGATAATGAATCATCATCATCGTCTTCATCACCATCATCATCAATATCTGATGATGATGAAAGTGAACAAGATTTTATAGAAGATCCATGGACAATAAATACAGTTCAACGTGAATATTATACTAAACAATTTCAAAATTTACAAAAAGATACTACTAAAGTTATTAATGGTAATAAATTTTAATTCTGTCAACAAGAAAAAAACAAAAACTTTTATTCTATTTTTTTGTGTTTTTCTTAGGTCAAATAGCAAAAGAATTTTTTGAACGCTCAAATTTGCCAACAAGTGAATTATCTCAAATATGGAATTTATCTGATGTTAATCATGATGGTGCATTATCATTAGGAGAATTTTGTACAGCAATGCATCTTGTAGTTTTACGTCTTAATGGTTTTCAATTACCCGATGAACTTCCGCAACAATTACAACCATTTACACCACTTATTGATCTATCGGACACAACATCAACAGATAATTGGGCAAATTTTCAACCAACAACTGATTCACCAAAACAATTTACATTTGCACAACCTGTTGCTGATAATCATCGAATAATAGCTCCTGTAGCTGTTCGTCTTTCTCCTCCACCACCACCTTCTGTTCAAACAACAACACCAAAACCACCTCCACCTCCACCACGTGTACCTGGTCGAACAACATCAGTTGATATTCCTCAACAACCAATTGTTCCACCACGTATAGGTATTCATGAAACACCTCAACGAAATTTAAATAATAATAATAATAATAATTCATCAACAACTACAACACCATATTTTTATAATCCAACACATTCATCAATTACTTCAACATTACAACAACAATCAGATCCAAATATTTTACTTGAACAAATACGTGATTTACTTAAACCTGATCATTTACAAGAATTATCAACAATTATATCAACGTCAACAATAACAAATGAACAATTTGATACATCATTAAATCAAATAAAAGATCGTAATACAATACTTAAAGCACATTTAAAACATTGGGAAGATGAATTAACTGATTTAATTGATAAAAGAATTTCATTAGAACATCAATTAAAACTTCAACATCAATAAGAACTTTTATTTTATTCTTGTTAGAATCGAGTTCGTTCGTCCATTTACTATGTGTATAGATAAAGAATTTTGTTCGATGCAAGCAGCAGTGGATTTTTTTTTTGTTGTTTTTTTTTTGCTCAACGTAGTTCTATATTATATTCTTTATCCTTTTGCGTCTGAAAACAAATAACACTATCTTTCATTCTATTTCTTACAAGTTTATGCTCATCTGTCAACATATGTACACATTTATTCTTATATATAAACTATTGTCTTTATTCTTGTTTTTTTTTTCGCGTTTTATTGGTTGAGAAAAACAATTATCGATTTGAATATTCAGGAATTTTTGAAGTAAGATGATTTAGCGCAAGAGAATTTTTCTGAAACATTTGGTTGTATATGACAATTTTCCTAGCACTATCATCAACTGTATCTTCTCATTTAATTTACTATCTTATTTTTGGAATAAACAAATTGAGAACTATGTATTTTCTATAGAATATTATCTTATTTCAAAGTATTTTGTAGAAAAACAAAACAAAGATTTATACTTCAAAAATATCATTTGTTTATCATATGAAGATTTAGAATTATTATTTTGTGAATTTTTACATAACAAATAAAAAATTTATTTAACTATAATAACACTTAAAAAGTTCTATCTTTATTGATTATCTTTCATAATTTGATCAATAGAAATAATTTCAATAAATATAGCTACTTTCTTTATTTTAGACATGTTGTCATTTATTCGTCTTCGATTTTATCATATTATTACATTACCTACAGGTATTGATATTCTCGTAAGAGTTATAGCAAAAACTTGAAGAAACAAATATTCAAAAAGACATTACTCTTAGAACATAGAGCATCCTATCGAACTTTTTAATTCAAAATAAATAAATTTCTTTAATTTTTATAACCTAGTTCGTTATGCTTCGTCAAAAAAGAACCATGTTTCAACAACAACATCTGTTCTTCGTCATAATTGGCTTGATATAACATCAGAAATCTGTCCAACTGATGCCTCTAATTTATCATCAACACCTGATTCTTCATTTAATAGTCGTGTAATACAATATTTATCTGATTCAATAAAAACTCCTCTATCATCAAATATTTATCAACATTTATTAAATTCATGTCAAACATGGTCACCACGAGAATTTTATGAATTAATAAATGTTCTTGGTTCATATGGTTTACAACCTGTTGATGTTCTTCGTTTATTAATTAATTTGCCATCAACTGATAAAACAATTGTAACAAATGAAAATTTAAAACGATGTTTCGAAAATCTTTTAACATTAAAATTTGATACAACAACACGTTCAATATTAATATCAAATGATCCAAATATAATTCAATATGATTTAACTTATTTACGTGAACGTTTTGATGTTTTATTATGTTATTTTACAAAACGTGAAATATATAAATTAATTCGTACACATAAAAAATTATTCAGTGAGCATTGGTCAGATCTTGATTATAAAATAAATTATTTACGTATTATGTTATTTGCATCAACACGTGATATTGTTGAATCAGGTGCATTAGCATATACAATTGATCATATACGTCAAAGATATTTATTTGTTTATCGTGCTGGTTTATTTAAACGTGTTCGACGTGAAGAACAATATGTTCTACAACGTGATTTAAATATTAGTTTAATTGATATATTTAGTACAAGTGTAACAACATTTTTAAAACGTACAACAAATAATCTTTTACGTAAAGATGATTATCAAGCATTTGTTGATTCACTTAAATATGAAATATTTGATAATGAATTTAAACAATATCTAACATTTGATAAAAATCGAAAAAATTGGTCAAGAGCTGATATGGCTACTGAAAGATATGAAAGACGTAATTGGATGAGTGAATTTGATATGTATAATAATATAGATGATGAAGACGATAATGATGATGAAACTAATTTAACAATTATGAATGAAAAATCTTTAACTGTAAGAAATACAGAAGATAAACCGAGTTCATGGCATATATTATCTGATTATAATCCTGATCGACATCGAGGGAGAAAAATTGCACAAAATGTTGATCCAAATATTCGATTATAATTTTTGTTTTTTTTTTGTTTTCTTTTTTTTAATTTTAGATAAAAGAAAAAAAATAATGGCAGCACAAATTGTAAATTTACCAAGTTTACTTATTGGGCGAGTATTAACAAAAAGTAATACAACAACAGCTATTATAAGAGTTTTACAAATGAAACTTGATGATAAATTTGATATGTTTTTTAATCAACGTAAGTTATTTTTCATAGAAAAATCAAATTAATCGAAATTAAATCTATATAAGACAAACATTACGAAACGAATCATGAGAATAATATCAGCTGTTAGCAAAAAATTCAATTTTTTAAGAAAAAAAAAACAAATATCGACATCCAGAAACTATAATAACCAAAAAATGAATAGATTTTCGGTCTTTTAACAAGACATTTTTCATTTGTTGAAAAAATTCTAATCTAGAGAAATCTTTGTATTTTTTTTATTATGTTTAAGGTATCGATTATAAAGCATTTGATAAACGTGAACAAACAAAAGTTGGTGATATAGTTTTATTAAAAAAACGACCAACACTTGAATGTCGTTATCCATTAGAACGTTATGAAATAAGTGAAATTATTTATGAACTTGGTCGTATTAAAGATCCATTAACTGGACGACGATGTAATGGTTTAAGATTTCTCGATGAATCTTTTGTTGCCAATGAACGTGAAAATCAATTAAAACGTCTATCTCCACCACCAATAAATGCCACGCCTAGCGAATAAAAGTTTCTTTTTTTTTTTGTTTGTTTTTCTTCATTTACACATTAACCAAAAATGAGAAAATTTAGAATATCGGTTTCTTGTTGTTTTTTTAGATAAAAATCAACATGTTTTGGATAATTTTTTTATTTTTAAACGTTGTTGCAACTGATAATTCACAAGAAAAATTTAAACAATGTAATAATCAACAATGTATTTTAATACAATGTTATTTTCCCGTTCGTAAGTTAAAAAGAATTTTTTTGTATTTTTCATTCAAAATGTTTTTGTTACAGCCGAATTTTTAAACGCAACACGAAATGAAATAAAATTATTTGAAAATTTTCTTGATCAACATCATATATTTATCAGCTATGTAAAGTTTAATAATTATCAATAAATTCATTATTAGAATTTATTCTTTAGTATTTATGTAATGATCTAACAATAGATAATATAGATGAAGTAGGTGCATGTATTTATGGTGTACTTTTTAAACTCTATCAGTTAGTAATTTTTATAATTATTTTTATTTTAATTATTTGATAATTTGTTTTTATATAGATTTGATGCTAATTTAACAATTCATCAACGTATACAAGTTCAATCAGCACAAATACAAGAAGAATCAGTAGCTGTTGTTATGGATATGTTGTAAGAGAAATTATGTTTGTTTGCTATTTCTATTTTTTTAATAAATAAATTTTATTAGATCAACTATTCTCTATCGGATTCAATCGATAAATGATACGAATAAATTAAAGAATATAATGTCAAAATCAAACGATGAAGATATTGTTGTTATTAATGCTCAATCTCTTACAGCTCAAGGTATGTGAATAATTCATTAATCTAGAAGTATTCACGCGACAACAGTCTCGTCGCTTCTCTATTGAGACTATTGTCATTGTATCAGTCATAATGTATAATAAAAGAGTTTGCTTTGGTTTGGCTTTCTGGTCTTCCTTTGATGAGTTGCAGAGGTTTAACACAATGTTTGTCCTATATGCATAGGATTACTAAAAACTTGAATGATTGAATTTTGACCTGAAATTTGGTCCTCTTACAGTCACTAGAAACATCGTAAAATTTTATCCCGAACAAACATATTCTTGCTAAGATATTTACATGTTTTAGACTGTGTTTTCAAAAGAAGAACGACGACTGCATGGCAAGCTCATATCTCGATATGGATACGTTTGTCCTAGCTCAAACTTTTAGCTATAGAACCTATCTATGTGCACAGTTTCAGTTCGAAATTCAATCATTCAGGTTCTCAGTAATTCTATGCTCACAGGATAGAAATCGAGTAAAATGCTCTTAACTCAATAAGTGAAGACCGGGAAACCAAATCAAAACAGACTTTTTTCTTTTACTATTCATTATGATCAATCTAATGGCAATAGTCCTCAAGCGAAAAGCGATTGAAAACGTTTTCTTGTCAATAATAGATCAAGTATAAAAGCTTATTTATTTAATACTATATAACTTTCTTTTTCTAAAGAAATATGTGATCTTTTTTTTAACGGTATCTGTTTCATAGTGTAAAATATCGAATAGAATTGCCGAAAGTGATGAATCACTTTCACTAATCAAATGAGTATTTTAAACAAGTTAGTTCATATGAAAAGAGCAATGATTTGTATTTAGTGAAAAGATTAAATTACCAAAAAAATCACAATTTTTTTTATTTCAGTACATTTTACCGTTAGTCGAACAATTTTGAACTATGGACAATGGTTTACTTTTATTTATTCTATTGATAAGTAAGTCTAAATTTTTTGGATATATTACATAACAATTTTTCTTTTTTTCGTGATAGAAATAATAAAGAAACAATTGATTGTTTATATCAAATTTATCCATTCGATAGTAATGTTATTTCATCACAATGTCTCATAGAAAATAACATTCGAATGATATTAGAACAGCGCATAGGAGCTAGAAAAGATCGATTGAATATTATTAACTCATTTTCTGATCTAACTCATGTCAATGTATTTCAACGAACTTTATCAACATTATTTTATATACATACAAATTCGACTTTTACTTTAATATCAAATAAAAATATGACTATCATTCCCGTAAATATGTAAGTAAGAAAGTTTTTTTTTTTGTACGGAATTTAAATAAGAGCTATTTCATGCAAACTCACTCACGTCGCTCGCAAAGAGTAAATCAATTTTTTTTTTTGAAAAATTTAAATATACTCAGAAAAAAGCTTTGGAGAGAGATTTTGTAGCCTCAAGAGCTATCTACAGAATGTACTATTTAGTTTTTCAAAAATACTGTCTAAATTTGAAGTTTATTAAAATTAAAATGTATGAAGTGAGAATGTATTTTTGAGAGTCACTGTATATATTCAATGATTTATTATAGATTGAATTTCAAGGTAATAGATATAGACAATCATGTATTTTTACATGGTCCATATCCATTCTATTTGTTTTGGTCAGCAAAGAAAGTATAAGACATTGATTAATCAATATTATTGATAAATAGTTAATGTATTATAGAATATATTTCAACGTCTTGGTGATCAACCTTCGAATGAACTTCTTGATATTCTCATACAAGAAGAACAAAAGCAACATTTAGAAAGTACTTAATCATACTTTTTTTTTTTTGAACTATATACATTTTATTAAATAGATATATATGGCATGTTCGATGATGAAGTACGATATATAGCTGATGCTTACGATGAAATTGAAATAGATCCAAATGTTTTATTTCTTAAAAATCAAGAAGACTATTATCGTAGTCAAGAAAAACATTTAAAAAATGCTATTCTTTTTACTGTTAAATGGGATTCAACATCAAAATTAGCTCGAAAAACATTTCATCAATTAGCATTATATCTTCATAATTATTTATCTATGATAGATATTGATTGTTTCGATTGGACTGATATATGTAATGAAGAAAATATTTTTGAATGGCCAACATTAATTCTAACTGAAAATAAAACAATAATGAAAATCTATCAAGGTAGTACAGATAAAAATGAAATGGCTTTAGCTTTATTTCGGTAAGTTCATCAAAATAAAGGACTTTGCCGGATTCGGTGGCTATCCTGAATCAGAAGGCTGTATATGTAGTTTTGTAGAGCAAATTGCAGCGCATCGAATAGTATATTAGAAATCAAGATTGTGATGTTTTAAGGATCTATGCATTGGTTATAATCTTTGAGAAATATATATGGTACTCATGAGCATCATGGTCCCTAAGTTGTTTGAAGAAAAACTGATGGAAAATGTTTTTAAAAATCAATGCGATATAGTTATAGGTGTTCTTCAGTTTTCTATGATCAATAGATTTCATCGTTGCCTTCTTCATACTTAAAACTGATCTCTTAGGTCCAGGTTATTTCTTGACTACTTGATACGTCAATGTGTTCAATTCTGTACCACACAACAAGTGAGTACGAATATGAAACTGTCTTAAAAAATGGCACACTATTGAGCTCCATGTCTCACACATAAACATCTTTCAAAACAGTAGGGACTCATTATCAACTTATAAGCTTGTCCCCTAGACTAACTTATTTCCTTACATGAATGGGGTGGTATAGTGATGATATTTTAACGAGTATCCAAGTTTGATTTATGCATGGAACTCTAGATGAATCTATAAAGATCCCACGTTCATTTCAAAAATAAAATGCTTCATGTTCACACACCCCATCCAGAGATCTGGAGGACAAAATTTTTTTTTCATTTATAAGGAAGTTATTTATATCAGTCCGTCAGGGATGCTGTGCTGATTATTGACATATAAAAATTTTCAGTAGGATCAGTCAGAGTATTGTTAGAATATCGTCAATATACCGATCCTAGATATAGAAAAATATGCTATTCCAGAGGACAATGTTGTAAATTGAAAAGGAGTCTTTGCTGTTCTGAAAGATGTTATGGGTGAAATATATAGAGCTCGACTGTATGCAATTTTCGAAAAAGTTTCATGTTGATGCTCACTTATTCTATGGCATAGAATCGAACACACTGGAATATCAAGTAGTCAAGAAACAAGCTAGACATAAGAAAAGGGACCATTTTTAGGAATGAAGAAAGCAATGTTGAAAGGTATTGATTATAGAAAATCGAAGAGCACCCGTCGCTGTATCGAAATGAATTTTAAAGAAAATTTCATTAGTTTGTCTGAAAATTTTCCATGGGTTACAATGTCTATGAGTACCTTATAAGATTTCCCAAGTATTATAACCAGTGTATCGATCATTAACACATGAAAATTTTCATAAAACTTGATTTCTTATACACTATTCGATGCGCCACAAATCGCTCTACAAAACCACACATATATAGTACCGCGGTTCATGACAGATCAGCAAATCCTGAGGATCCTTTGTTATAAATTTATGATGAATATTTAGATTTTCGGTTAATCAACCATATCTAATTGACGATGATTCTAGTGAAATATTAATCGAAAATATCCTTACACATCAACGATTGATTATTCTTGCTCAAATTCAACATCAAGAAAAATTTTGTAAGTACATTTGATAAAATAGTTGCGTTGTTATTTTTAATCTGTAAAAATTTCTTCCAGTATATGATACCTATAAAAATCTAGTCGATATGTTTTTGGATAATGAACATATCTTTTTTATGTTTAAATATTCAACAGAAAGGTAGATAAAGAGTAAAAAAAAATAAGAATAGGTTATGGGATTCTTCAATGATTAAAATAATCATCATGTTTTTTATTTTGATTGTTTTCTTAAAAAATATTTATTGATTTATAGTTCTTCTCTAATTATTAAACAAAAGTATGGTGATATTATTTCATTTTTACAACCGAAAACGATTGTTCATGCATTAAATGAAGATCTTAATCATCTTCAAATATTAATTAATGATGCTCTTCGAATTCCATTGGTTTGTGACTCGTAACTTTTTTTTTCTGTAGATTTAAACTTCAGATTTCTTTTTATTTTGTCTTGATTAAGATTCCATTTGATCCTATGGATATAATTAAATCAACACGAACAACATTTCTAGTAGCCAGTCATTCGCAACTTATTCAATTGAATGATTATTTTTTATTAAATAATCCATCAACAGAGAATCCTTTCGTTTGGATTGATACGTAAATCCTTATCTTTTATTTTTTCTCTATTAACAAAATGATTTCATTTTTTAGAAATTCATTATGGGTTCTTACTATAAATCAATATGGTCATATTCCTTATCCAGCTGTGATATATATTAATTATTCGAATGTAAATACGTTTATAAAAAATTATTATTTTAATTTAATTTTATGGAACACACATTATGTTTTTTTCGAAGAAAAATATAGTGAGTGTAAGTCGAAGTTTTGTGGCTCTTCCTCATAGCAATGAAGTTCAAAGATCAGAGGTATATTTTTCCTAGTAACAGAGGGGAAGGCCAGCAGCCATTAGTTATGTTTCTATAGCAACCGAAGACAATAGCCGTCAGACTCTTTTCCCAGAGCTCTTTAGCAACGAAAAAATACGCTGAATAGCATAAACAACACGACTTCGGCTGTTCTATAACATTCCAAAGATTTTCTCGAAATTGGAATGGCTGGAATTCGTTTGTAGATGTTCTAAATAGTGCAATTTTTCATTTTTACGCAGACAAAAATTTATATTCAAGATGTCAAGAGTGTTGGGTAGTGATTAGAGATGTGCGGGACCAAGTTTTTTTTATCCCAGTTCTGATCCGCTCTCGGTAACTTCTTGTCTAGCGGTCTCGCTCTCAGTTTCAACAACTTCACTTTCTTGTAGTCCCAAGACCGGAACTAAGGTTAGTCTCGTACATCTATAATAGTGATGGACTGATATGCCATAGTCGCCATATGAGCAACATAAAAAGCGTGAAATACTCAATATCAGTGTTTCTGAGCTTATCGAGATATATAATAATGCACTGAAACTTGCGGCAGATATAATGGATATGTATAACAGGCTAATTTGCTAATTAAATCAATGATTAGAATAATAACAAAAAATTCCGTTCGAAATGCAGAGATAAATAAGAGAAATCGTTTCCCTGGCGATCGATTATCGTTGAAAAACAACTATAGTCGGCAAGAGATTTTTCACTTGATATGTTTTATGTTATTATAATGAGGCTAAAGAACACATGTGAGTTCCACATTTGAACTCCAACAGGGCCGCACTGACAAGCTTATTTTGTTATAGGGAAAGGTTTATATGAATTCTACTTTGAATGATATTGACACATGGCTTAAAACAGTTCAAATGGGATCAATAAAACCTTTTTGTAAAAGAACTTTATTAATAATATTAAATAAATCTTTTCTTATTTGCTCATATTTATTAGATGAATTATCATCGATTGATATAGATGAAGGACCATCACAAAAAGAAATTGACTTTAATAAGCAAACGTATGATGAACAATTAATAAATGAATATCGTATAATTCATGAACAAAGTGAAAAAATTAATGAATATGGAATAGGTATATTTTAAATAAGTTCTTCTTTCTTTTTTTTTTAATATAATAATTATTGATAAATATTTCTTATTCCAGGATTTGATATGAATGGTTTTCCTGTTGACATGAATAATTAGAGATTTTATTTGTTTTTTAGATAATTTTTTTCATTTTTTATAACCTATCAATCACTACTCATCAAGTAATTTTTCAAAAATTTATCGATCGATTATCTACTAATTTGAATCGTGTATTGAATAATACAAACTGTCTTATCTCCTTTTTATCCAAGTTCAGAACAATGTCATCATTATTTACTACATCATCAAAACAAAAAACACAACGAAAACATATGAGAAATAATGAAATATCAGAAATAATCAAAGAAACTAAAGGTTACTTGAATGTTAACAATACACAACATATTAGTAGTAATTGTAATAATCTATTAAATTTATCAAATAAATTAAAAATACAATCTTCATCATTATCTTCTGTATCTAAATCTAATTCAGTCTCACAAATTGAAAAAAAACATGCATATCATCGATGTCAAAATAAAAAAACGACTATTTCTATTAATAAATGCAAACAATCTCACACAAAACATAATAATTATCATAGACGAAACAATATCCTATCTGATATTACGATTCTCTCTATTGATGATAGTAAAATGGATACAAATTTAAATGATAATAATAAAAATTCATCTTTAATAAATAATCAAACGAATGATAAACAATTAAATTCGTCGACAAATAAAAGTAATACACCAGATATAATATCATGGTGGGAAGATAATCAACAAGAAATTTTTAAAAATAAAAATGATGATAATGATGATGATGAAATGTTAATAACATCAGATGAAATTTTACAAAAAATTGTTGATGGTGCACTTAATTTAATGTTAACTAGTTCAAAATCAAAAATACAAAAACAAATTCAAACATTTATCGATCGAAAAAAATTCCGACAAAATATTCAATCAAAAGTGTCACTAATCTTTAAAATGAAATTGATCAGAAAAATATAATCTATGGTGCAAAAGTCTTGACGCAAAATCTTCACTCATTTTTCAGTTCGTTAAAAATAATTAGTTAGAGTCCGAAACAGTTAATGAGAATTTCCTCCTCGGGTTAGATTGAACAACTAACATCAGATTGTTTCAAAAGATTCTAAATAGTGCTTGTACAAAATACTATTTTGTATTTTGATGGAAACTCAGATAATGGGAAGTCATTTGGAAAATATTTGAAAAATCTTCTCAGCTAATGCATATGATTCTAATTTAAAGATTTATTAGCGAAATCTCTGTGGGATTAAAATGTGAAACACGACAGAGACCTAATTCGCATCCTCAACGAGAGAATTACCAAGGTGCTCGTTAGGGTCTGGAAGGTCTAAATTTTTATCCTATGTACTTCAACATTTTGTTTTAGATCGTGTTTCACGATAAGGTTATATTCCAAAATGTCCAGACAACAAATTGGCCTTATTCGTTTGAACTTTTTTCGTGTTGGATTATACTATGTTGATTTCGTGGAAGAAATGACTTGACTTGGGTTTTTAAATCATTGTGTTTAGGCAAGTCATATACGACTTCTGAATGTAGAATAGTTCCGATTGAATATGAGAAGGAAAATCTGAACATATACTCAGAAATAGCGGAAAATTCTAATTCTGGCAGTGACTAGTTGTCTTTTAGTGGCTGAAAAATGAGTGAGCATTTTGTACCAAGATTTTCGTGTAATTTAAATTTTCCATTGTACATAAGAATTTTATCGAATGAGTTCAAAGAAGCTGCATGCATTTCCAAATAGAATAAATATTTTCTCAACAGATTATTCAAAATACTATCTACAAGGGATTTCCTAACGATCCTTTCATAACTGTCAAGGATGGATTAGTTCATTAGGCAGGCAGAAATATACATAATCTTAAATGTATTCACATTTCAACAGTGAATATTTAACTGTATGAGCAATACTAAAATGAGTGTTTTATTTCATTTTAGGACGTTCATATTGATTCTCATTTAGAACAAAATGTTCAATCGTTAAAAAATAGTAAGTTATTTAGAAATGTTTTGAGATTCTTTATTTTAAACATAAGTCATAGATGATATTATTACACCAATTAATCCAACGAATCTTGGTCATCAATTATTAGAAAAAATCGGTTGGATACCTGGTAACGGTCTTGGTTTAAATCAAGATGGAATAAAAACGCCTATTGAAGTTAATATCCGTAATCATCGACAAGGTTTAGGATATGAAAAACAAATCGATAGATACCAATAAATATTTCCTTAATCATTGTTGTCAGATTTAATTGTTATTTGTTTTTTTATATTTATAACTAAATAAAAGATTTGCTTGTTAAATTCAGAATTTATCAAAAGCGTAGCAATTATTTATTCATGCACATTATTTGAGCTGTTATACATATGTTTTCTTATACAAGTACATTTACAAGTCACAATAAGTATCATCGAAAGACAAATACATGTTCATAAAAGACAGTAATATCTACAATCCAGAAAATAATGACTCAAGGAATTCAATAGATTTTTATATAAGCAAAATCGCTCGTTAGCAATGTATGTTCGAAAAATTAAAATGCGTGTATCTCGGGATAATGAACTTGTCTAAAGATAATTTTTATGTCACGCATGTATGTTAAGCTACTCTGGATACCTTGAAAATGTCAGCGCTAGAGGCATCTATTCATAGGAGTTATCAGTAAAAAAAACCTAGTGTCGGCAACATGATATGAAAAAAAGATATCGACTTTCATTTTTGGCATTTCAGTATACTCAATCCAAAGTTTTTTCTGACTATGCTTAGAGTTTTCAAAACACCGATTTACTTTCTGCGAATGACATGACTAAGTACGAAAAAATTCTCTTATAACTGAATGAGAAGTTCAAAACCAATTCCAAACTGTACAAATCCTTCCTCAGAATCTCTAGATGACGGTAACACAAACGTTTTTGTTTCGGAGTTCCACAGAATCTCTAGAAAATCGGTTTTTTAAATCTGGTCTCACTGAAAATTTCACCATAGATACGGGTCGTATCTCAGAGTCTATCCTGAAGTTTTTGGATTTCTTTTCTCATATGATTAGAGATATTTAGTAATTACTTTTTAATTAATAGTCAGCTGAAAGCGCCAACATTTTAGCATATGTCTAAGCTAAAAGAACTGGTAACCCTTGTAAAGAATGAAACTCAAATGAAAGGTGAGTATATCCCGTTTTGCCTGAAATGACCCGTGTATATATATATGTCTATAGAATTCCTTGAGTTGCCAATTATTTCATCATGGATGTCTTGCAAAAGAAGAACATATGAATAAAAGTAGAGAATAAATATAAAGAATTTCCCATTGATGCATTGCAAACGAAATGAATATATGTATTATCAATAGAAACTTATCATTGTTTTAGAAACGTTGCCTTTGTATAAAAGTAGATGGATCATTGTATGCAGTATTATGTTCATGAACATTATAAATAATTGTATTATCAATTGGTTGACCAATTTTTGTTGCATAGTTTTCATGTATAGGATTTTTATATGCAATTGTGGACGGTAATTTATCGAGGTTTCTATTTGAAGGAAAATTATTTTGAGCTGTTATATAAGTAGTAACAGGAGGATTCGATTTCCTATCGTGTAATGGGTCCGGTGATACAATACCATCGATATCTTCTGTATAAATGGATGTACCAGAGTAAGGCGGTTCAGAAGTAAATTTACTAGTATTTCCTCGACTAAAACGACGCATTGTTTGATACAATGAACTGCGCATTGAACTCCATTTAGCTGTATTCCAAATTTCAGACACACCAATTTTTGTCCAATAAAAATGGATTAAAAATGCACCTACACCGACTAGAACTAGAACATATTTTAAATAAAAAAAAAAAAGGAAAAAAATTTTTTCGAACATTGAAATAAATAGAACAAACCTAATACAACCACTAAGACGATGATAACAATAATATCTGTTGTTAAAAAACTTTCCGGCATTGAAGATTTCTATGAAATAGTCGATTGTACACCTAAAAGAATAATAGTTTTTTTTTTTGTTATGATTACAAAACATTTGAAATATTAAATTTTACTTTATAGATTTTAGATCGTTTAGATAAAGACAAACGTTTACGTACTAAGTAACTCGAATTACTGATGAGCGAATATGTTGAGCATCGATGAGAAACAAGAAACTAAAATAAACTTAAAAGTAAGACTTAACTAAGTTATAATGGTTTTTATTTTCAAGATTAAATCCACAAATATTGACATGGAATATTTCCCCCTTCCCCGCCCCCCCCCCCCCAAAAAAAAGTGCACAAAAACAACTGATGATGCATGCATCGAATCTGAACTCTGGCTTGGTGTTCGAGTTCAGAAACTATCCAATCTGTTCAGACAGTATCGAGTATTTGAGTAATTATTTCATTGTTTCTTGAGGTATATTGACAACCATGAATGCACTCTAAGGTTCGAGTATTGAACGAATCTGAACAATGGAATTTAGTGTATGTTTACTACTGATACAGTCTAGCAGAACAGAAAAGTACCTCTTTAAATACTTGATATTCTAAGAAGTATGCCTCGATGCTGTTTGAAATGTCAACGTAATCTAGTAAATCATTAGACCATTTCATGAGTAATATTTTAGGTTAATACACATAAAACAATTAGAACTCAATTAATCTAAACATTCTTGATGATTACATTGAGATAACGTCTTTTTTTTTGTCAATACCGACTAGGCTTCGACATAGATCAAGCTCCTAGTTGACCCTGTGAGAGTACAGTAGGATCAAACCTGAAAGTTAAATGCAATTATTGAAGATCTTTTCAGATATTAAGATATTCAATTATTCATCAAGAGAGATATCTTCTGTGAATGTGTTCGTGACACCTCTATCGACAAAGATGTCGTGTATGTGTGTGTTTTCACGAATAGTTTAATTTCTGAAAATTTGAATTTTGAAGTTTCAAGTTAGATATAATATGACCTCTCTATAGACAAAGTTTTAGATATAATTTTACAATTCAAGTTTCCATAAATATTGTGATCAAGAGATCGAAAAACTTACTTATGAGCGTGATCGATGTCTGAAAATGGTAGATATGCGTTTCGTAGGTCTGCTCAAGGTAGCATCTGTTTAGTGAAAGCAATTTTTCCTACTCAATTATATAAGAACAAAAAAAACAATATATCATAATCTGGAATGGTTTCTATTGTGCTGTGCATCATTTTCTTTTGGATCTAATCATTTTGTTATCGAGCTTTCCCTATTTGCATATATTTACAATCTTATCTTTGAATGATGTACAGCCATTTATACTCTTGCAATTATCATTTTTCTTTTTAATTTATGTTACATACAGATGTTATGGAATAGTTGCGTATTTATTCAATTGACAATAACAAATATTCGTCTGTTTTTTCTTTTATGACTCTTCATTCTATCACAGATTGTGTCAACAAGCATATTAAGCTTTAGTAACATGTACGCTACATTGCTTTCTAATAAATACGTATAATAAATGCGTGTGGGTGTAAATTAGTGGTAACAGATAGACTTTGTGTTTAGAAATTATATGAAAGAAATAAAAAGAAATCGTAAGTTTTAAAAACAAAGGAATCTTATTATAGATGTAAAACATCATTTAAAGAAAAGGATAAATCCTATATAGAAAATCAACAATTGTTTTCTGGCATAAAACTATTTTCATAAGAGAGAATAAGTAATCAATTAGAATGTTCTATGCTTTGTAATTTCATTAAAATAAATTTTACATTTTTTTTTCTTCTATTTCTCTTTATAAATTAAAAAAAATATTTTCTAACGACATAGAAGATTGAGTTATAAAATATATTAGTAAAATTATAATTTCAAAAAAAAACGAAGATTTCTTAAATTTTAGTAAATATACACCATCCAGTATGTATATCATTTTTGACAACGGCAGTTAGTAGTAGAAGGAATAACTACGTTACAAGAAGACAAATGGTGTCTGTTAAGTTCCAAAAGCCTCAAGGTTGAATAAACAAGAAAAAAAAAAATAACTAATTAAATCTGCAGATGACGCAGTCAAAAAAATTGCCATATTGTACAAGGCTACGAAAATATACTGATGAAAAATCGTTTTCAAAATATTATTGATATGTATTGGTTTAGAATTCATAGAAAATAATTTGTAATATTTTCTTACCTTTAGCCTTTCTTTTTTTTTTTATAGATTACAAATGCTTGTATCTATGCATGGTACTATTATTTTTGTTGTCATCATCATATTTAATGTTGATTATTTGTTGCTTGCTTTTATCGTTTTCTATATTTGTCACCAGCACTATTGTCGTCAGACGTGTCGTTTATACTGTAGTTGTTCTTCTTTTGAAATAATAGATGACAAAGAGAAAAAAAAAAGAAAAAAAAATATAGTATATTGTAGACGGAAATAAACCGTCGAGTTATTTTTTATAAAAAATATTAGCAGGAAGAAAAATGAGCAGTAATATTATGTTTTTTGTTTTTGTAGGAATGCAACAAAAATAATGAAGATATGTATTGAAAAACTTTTATCGATAAATGTTATTTTTGACAAAAATACGATTACCGTTTATTGATTTTGGATTTTGTTTCTTTCCCTTTCTGTTTTAATATGGCGTAGTTAAAAAGACTCAAGGTCATTGTATCATGAATATTATTTTATTTTTTTTGATTTTGTTTTGTATTTACCTCAAAACAATAAACTATTTGTGGTTCACTGAGTCATTTTATATACTATAGAATATCAAAAGTGTTTTTATGTTTTTATATTTTTTTATAATGTATTAGCTATAAATTATGTGCCAATATGTAGGATCCAGGTGTGTTATATTTGTCTTTTTTTATCTTGAATCAACTTGAGAGCACAGTCATAAAAGAAAACAATTTGATTGATGATTCTTGTTTTATAAGGCGCCGACTATTGAAAATTTGAGTAAAATTTTTTTGTTTTGGCATTTTTGTATCGTGGTCGGATAGATTTCGTCGAGTTACCTATTAAAGTGTTGTTTTTATAGTGAAACTTATTATGATTGCAAAATGCCATAAATACAGTTTTATATTCTAAGATTTTGACTATCAAAACTCAAGTTTCAAAGCAAACGCATGTCATATTCAGAATCAGCACAAAAATCGACATCGAATAGTATACTCAAAATTAATTTTCGTTAAATTTGGGCTGTAAGGGAAGCATAGGTCAGAGTACTCGAAAGTAACGGTGGGAGGTCTACATATCGAAATTGGACAAAAATTAGTTTTGAGTACTTGAGTTTTGATTGTCAAAGTCTTAGAATATAAACCCGTATTTGTAGTCTTTTGCAATCATATCCAGAAAAATCGATTTTCTTAACAATCAAACAATATTTTTGCGAAAATCATGTATAATCTGTTTTGTAACCATATGATGATAAATATTGAGACTTGATGTTTTCGGCATATTACAATTTTTATAGGCTATTCTCATCTTTTTTTTTTAATCTAATTTTCCTAAAACATCATCTAAATATGTCAAAAACATAGTTCTATAGGTAAATTGACGAGCTCTATCCAACCATGATAAAAATTCTGAAAAACATTTTGTTCAAGTTTGAAATTGCCGGTGTCTTATTAACAAGAAAATAGTTAGCAAGCAACAATTTTATGTTCATACGCACTTTTAGAATAATAACATTCAATCAAATGGCTTAATAAGAACTAAATTTTATTTCATAAGAACTTTCATATGACCGTGAAATGTGAAAATAATCAAATTTATTCGTCATACATACGAATTAATTTTAGATATCGATTTGAATAAAAAGCTAATTTTGTATCAAGATATGAGTGGAATATAGAAAAATGTAAGTATGTAATTGATGTACTCTCTTGCATTGATTTTTCCTTATAAAAAAGATTGAGCCAAATAAATGATCTCGTCTGATAATATAATGAGTTTTTGCAAGTTTTACAAGACGACGATGTTTTTTTTTCAAACATAATTGATTAAGACAAAAAACATCTAACTAAAATGAAATTAACTAGTTTAATTTCGACAAGTATTTCTACTAGGACCAGAAAATAAAGATCAGATTTACTGGTATTGGTTCAATCTTTGAATTTTATAAATTAATCAGATCAATATTTGATACACAGTGGGTGGAACAAGGATTCTTCGGGAAAAACTCAATTTTGTTTTGATAGAAAAGCTTGTCTCTCTCTGAAGCATTAATCACATATTGAGAATATATTATTACATTTCATCTCATAAAGAAAATACCAGTTTATATATATATATATTTTAATTATTTACTAATATACAAAACTGTGAATAAGACATCAATAGGCCATAAAATTTTTTAAAATTACTTTTTTTAATATTCATCAGAGGAAAGCAAAACAATTTTTTTTATAAAGAAAAACTCTCTAAAGTAAATAATAACATGAAGTAGTTTTTATTTTCTAGACACGGAAATCATCTTATTTACTTTCATATATATTATGCTTCGCTTAACTACCGATAAAATTTCATTTCACCATACTCAGAAAAAAAACAAAAAAGAATTCAACATTAAAATATTCTTCTACTCATTCGAACCACTTTTTCAAAAGGATAGTTGAATGTAGTCAAATCTGAAATGAAAAATCATTGATTGAACACTATAGTTGATTTTATAAAAATATAATGCGGTCGGCGGAGATAGAACGAGCTTTGATTTATTGTTTGAGATTCTTAGTTTAATTTCCAAGTAACACAGTCTTTTTCTCTCTTCATAATTGTGTCCATGACGATGGATCACTTCCATGCGACAAAAATTCTTCTATTTTTTTCTCTTTCAAGTTTACACATTAATATTAAAAGCTTTTTTTTTAATCAACAAGTGTATTAAATAGTATTAATATACACTAATATCAATTTTTATGTGACACCCTAATCGTTCATAAATGGAATTTTAATCTATCGTCTACTTTTAATTAGGGGAAACTAGGACTAGTCGATTCGATTGAGTCTCTACTACAATCATTATTGGCTGAAATTTATAGTAAAAAAAAAGTTGTTGACATGATTGAATTTCGTAATGCATATGCTGACTCTTCATTCTAAGACATTGCAGAGCAAGAATTCCTTTAAAATTTTAATACTTTTTAAATATTTTACTGTCTTAAAAATTGAACTGAGACTATGATATAAACAGGCAAATTTTTCATTCTTTTCTTGTCGTACAGTCTACAATGCATATCTCAAATACATTATCCAATTTACATGAAAACTGAGTGAAAATAGCTTTCAAAAAAATGTCCTTGAATGTATGTAAACATATTCAAGTATCCAGACTATCGATAACCGATGGTTTTCATTTTTATACAGACAATTGCAAGGTATGCTGAAACATAAAATTGAACCATACAAAATTATTTTTTGTCTTTTCAAATTAATTATTTTCTTCGAAAGTCGAATTGTTATTATAAACAAACGAAATAATCAAATAGTACGTCTTATAAATTTGAAAAATATGAATATCTATGTTGTTTTCGACTATTCATTAACTACTCAACTTTGGTAATACAATAATTATACTAGATTAAAGCGTTTTTTTAAAAATAAATATTTATCAATTGGATCAAATGTTATTTAGTCAATAAGAAAAAAAAATATTCTCATACCATTTATTATAATAACCGTATCAATAAACTTTGATTTTTTTATCGAAAATTAGAATAGTAATAAGCAGCAATTTTCTTAAATTAGCCTGAAACTATCGAATCGATCTCTACAATTGATTGTTAATATTTGTCTTTGCTTTGTTGCTAATGCATTTTGCTTTTTTTTTCTTTCAATTCAAACAAAAAAAAAAGAATAACGGTTAATGTTCTTCCAGCCACAAAAACAAGTTTCTGTATGTGTGGCTATGTTAAAAAAAAAGAAAGAGAGTCAAAAGAAGAGAAAAAAGAAAAAAACATTTGCCGTACATCACAATCAAACGTCAGTGACATGTCAGAACACGAGTCAGACGTTGTGTTGTTTCATTCAACAAACCCAAATATACAAACGAAAATTTATCGAACAAAAATTTTCTTAAAACTTTTATCTAATGGTCATATATTTGTTGATTGGAGTGATTTACCAAAACATAAAAATACTCGACAATGTGTTATACATTATAAAAGTTTAAATAATAATCGAGTAAAGTATTTTTATTTGTTTTTTTTTCTTCTTATAATTTTATTTTAAATGAATATTTCTTTTAATTAGAGTCATGCTATACGTGTATCACGTCAAAAGCGAAATGTTATTTTAGAAAAAATTGAATCAGGTCATTTATATGAAATACATGTATGTACTGTTGATGAATCAAATCGAATAATAGCTTCGAGTGAACGTGCACAAATACAAACTATAATGTCGAACGAAGCACCAACACTTCGTGTGACGTAAGTTTGAAGAATTTTTTTTTTTTTGTAGAAAATTTATCTTAATTTTATAGTAAATCAACACCGGATTTTATTATGCTTGAATGGGAAAAATCTAATGATGTTAAATTATCTGATATTGAATTATATAAATTAATAATAAATGGTAACTCTAAAGCTATGTTACCATCAACAGAAAATAAATTTGTTATTAATGATGGTAAATTTGGGAAACGATATGTTTTTCGATTAGAAGTAAGACTTTTAAACAGAATAAACTTGATTATTATTCTTTTTCTTTTGTAAAGATGACTCAAAAAGATCAGAAAATAATTTCATCACTTCCAGTTAATGTTGATTGGCCAGGAGTGACCATGCCTAAACTTCATGCTTTTGTAAATGGTACTGAAGAATTAATCATTTGTTGGGGAGATTCAAGATCGATCAATGATGGAAATATTGAATCTTATATGGTTTATTTTGTTTTTTCTTAAATATTCAGCATTTGAATATGTGTCTTGATTTTTTGTTGTTTCTTGTTTTTTTTTTGAAATAGCTTCATTTATATGATTCTGAAGGTCGTTTATTAAATCAGTTTGGTCCAAATGCTGCTGAATGTCGTCAAGTATGGATAAAAGATATGATAAAAGGTGTTTATTTTTATGTTCTGGAAATAAAACTTGCCAATTCAAATAAATCTATTTATTCAAAACCTATGAAAATTGAATGTGGAAGAGAATCTAGTATACCAATATTAACATGTGATTATAGTGATGCAAATAATCAAAAACGATTAGTTAATATGGCTTATCATTTAATTAATATTCGAGATAAGTAAGAATAATAATTCTATAAGATTATTTTAATATTCTTTTTTTTTTTTGTTTTTTTGTCTTAGTATGAAATCAAAACGTTTGTTTGAAAAATGTGAAAATCAACTTAAACATATACTTTCAACTTTAAATGATTTAACAGGTTTTCTTTTGTCAAAATTTATCTATTCTTTATTAATGTATTGTTTTTTTTTTGTTTTTCTGAAGATTCTGTTCGTCTTAACTTGACTATTGAATTAAAATCAAATGATAATATTCCAAGAAAATATTATTTAATTATTGATGGTCAAGAAAATCCAGCACCTATGCCTTGTCTTGTCAAAGATTTTCCATTAGAAGTCAGACTAAAATTGATTTGTATTTAAATTGAATAATAATGTTCTTTTTCTTTTGTCTAGTTACCTCGACGTGATAAACCTTATGCATTAGCTGTTTCGGTAACACCAGCTTTATATGGAACGAAATCAAACACAGTTCTTGTTGAAGCATCTGATCATTTTTCATTCTTTTGTGCTCATTTTCATCAACAACGATCTATTGAAAGGTGATATCATAGAATAAGTTATTAGATAAATTATTTTGAGATTTATTTTTTCTATTACAAAAAAAAAAAAGGAAATTTCGATTATTATCCACATAACAAATCATATACTGAAAAGACAAAGTTTTTTTTTGAGGTTTTATATCAAACTATAGAATTTATAAGGATTCCATAAATTGCAATGACATAATAAAACATTTTTTTATGTTTGACAAATAAGTTTTAAAGTAATGAACATTGTCTGAATCTATGACGATAAACAAATAAATATAAATGTTAGTAACATATATAGACAAAATAAATAAATTATTAATTAGAATTGAGAAGTTCATTGTATAGGAATTTAGATATTTTATTAATCTCTATAAAGAACAAGAAGAAGAAGAAAAAACTATTCTCTTGAGCTCGAAATATATAAGATTTATTTTATCTTTAGTTGTGAATACAACAGAAAATAGGTGAAAATGAATTATAATAACTTTCAAATTTAATTATACATCTCATATAAATTAAAAATTTTACATTTTATTCTTTTACACAAGGATATATTGAAATATTCGATTATATTTACATATAATGTTATATGAAATGTATGAACAATTGCAAATGAAATTTAAAAACACCAATATCGTTTTTTGGTATTTTTCCATCTATTACAATAGTTAAACGATGAAAAGAGAGGTAATGCTTGATAAGGTTAATTGTAAAAGCTGAAGTGAGTTTTGAAGAAAATAATAGTGCAATAGTTTAAAGTGTTGTTGAGATATTTAGATAGCAAAGATTTTTCCTAAATGAGTGAATATGTCGAATGTCGCTGAGATTCAGACAGTCCAAGTCTATAACATACAATAGAGTCCGTCGGGTTCAATGTTTTCGAATTCGGATGTGATTAATTAAACATGTTTCATACTCGCACTCGATTGATTAAACTTTTCTCAACCCGCGAATCATATTCCTAATTTCAACATAATCTTTTAATCTGACAAAGAAATAGCTTCAAGTAATTCACAGCTTTTGTATTGATATTTTGCCCATCAGTGAGACTAGAAAAGTTTTCAAAGTTAAGTTATGACCGTTTTAATACGTTTACCACCAATGAGGAAAAAGTTACCGAAAATTTAACATATAGAAGTTCGATCTTTATAAAAAGCTAAATGTCTTGGCAAAGCTCAACGCTTCTTTCTTCAGATACTAAGCTTTCAATAAACTATTGTATACTACCATACATCTCGGAGATCGACTTTCTTTGAAACCTCAATAACTTGAGAAAGATACGTTCATCTTAACTGAGATATTTAGCTTTTTACAAGGGTTATAACACCTATATGTGGAAAGTATTTTAGATCGAATTTCTGCACTTCAATTTTTCGATTGTTTCCTCCTCGCTGATAGTAAATATAATAATATGGTCATAACTTTGGAAGATAGGTTCATAGACTCTTCTTGTTTTAGAATTTTTCTAGCCTCACTCAGTACTATTTATGGGCGAAACACACTAGCAGAATAGCTCTGAATAACTTGGGACAGTCCTCTCGTACGTTTAGTAGTCGTTCCGAAGATACAAAATAGGTTTTATCGACTACTTGTATTCTGCTGCTAACATACTCTACACATTTTTCAGACAATCGTAACAATAGTCTTATATTAATCTAGTAATAATTGACTGTTACTCTTATAGTGTGACTTATTCGGTCGGTCATGAATCTGACCTGGCCCGAGTCCGGGATCATAGCTGACGAGCTCTAGCATACAACCACTTCCGATAGAAACAGAAATATGATATCAGGAGAGAAGCTTGTCTTTTTTTTAACATAATTCAATATCATATTCTAAAACAGTCATGAAAATTCATTACTGTTACATTGGCATACTTCATCCTTTTAAGATGTTTAAATTTCTGACTTAAGTCTATCTCTCAGTCTAGCAGAAATAGATACAATCTGATTCAAAGTTGATCGAACCATTAGCAAATATTTTTGTCAATGAATTTCTTTATTCTAACTCGTAGTATAAGCAGATATGAAATACTTTTGTTCTAGAATACTTTTAAAATTTAATAAATTTTAATTCCGTTCAATTTTAATCTGAATTTCTCGTAATTATGAATAAGATTTCGAATATATATATTTATTTTTAATTAAATAGTTGTTCATATATGCAAACGTTATCATATGAAAAACAATTAGCACGATCAATGCATCAAGGTCTTATAAAATCTCCAAAAATGATGACCAATATTCAAGTTTATGATTTAAACGAAAATAAAATAGTTTCTTTACCATTATTAGGCAACGTACATCGATTAACGATAATTTTGTTTTATATTAATGGATGTATACCATCAAAAATGCATCTTAATTATTTTTCTACTTATGCTTCATCTCATTGTACAAAGGTAAATCATTGATTTTAATTTCTATAATTGAAATTTTTCTTTTTATTAATTTAAAGTATAATTTTATATCAATTAATTGTAATCAAAATGATATTGATGATTTAAAAAATTTCACTGAAAATTTAACAGATATTCAATGTTATACTGATTTTTCATCAGAAGATTTTAAATGTAAGAAAAAACAAAAATATTTATTATTTCATATATTTGTTACTTTGATTATTTAATAGATGAACAAAAAGAAAATAAAACATCATTGCATGAATTATTATCAATTGATGGTGTACCTTTATATTTCGTCTTAGATTTTTCAGGTAAATTGATCGTATTTCAATATCCAAATGTTGCATCATCTTCTACGTAATTAGGTCATGTTGTTTGGAAAGGACGTTTATGTATTTCAAATCAATTAAAATATGATTTAGCAATGGATCATATAATTGCTCGAGTTAATCAATTACAATGTTCGACAGAAAATTGTGAACTTTGTTATTATAGTTCAATGAATGATACTTGTATTGATTCAGAATTGAATAGTAAAAATAAATTTCTTTACTTCTTTTTATTGTTATCATCTATTCTATGTATAGATACAGCGAGAAATCTTCAATTAATTATACAACAACGATTAGAACAATATGGAAATAAACAACTAGAAAAAGAAAAACATAATCGAACACGCCAAATTGTATCAATGAAACAAAAATCGACGGAAATCAATGATAATGAATATTATTCGATTATTTAATATGAATAATTTTAAAAAACAATGAAGACAGTTCTTTTTTTAAATAAAGACTTCCCTGAATGAATCACTAAATCTTTCATAAAATTTCTTTAATGTGTTGCCACTATTGCATGTTCGTTGACAAGTAATGAAATCATCCGGTGTTCTGAGCACAAGGATTGACTTTCCAGAGTAACCATTTTCACAGACACTTTCAGTAGGAATGGGCAAGATTAAAATTTATTCGTTCCAGTCTTGGTGACTCTACTTTTTCAAGCTTCATCTAGCTCTTTGTCTGAATCTAGAGCATATTTACATGATTCGCTCGAAACAATAGAACATTTAACTGTAATCTTTAGTTCTCAGATCCGATCGGTTCTGATCCCCGTTCGATAATAATGTCGGTAAATCTTCAAATTGTAGTCCTACCTATCTCTGATCTGAGCAAATTATTTTACTAAGAATAAAATGACCTTTGTATACTCAGAAACTAAATCAACATCTGTAATACATTCATGTCCATATGCATCTAAACTCAGTACATTGATTACTGTGTCATCCACCGTTGCTTAAATCTTAATGGATATCATCATTATTATTACACAACGAATATTATCAGTTGTTTCTTCAATAGTGAAACTGAAATCATGGCACACATTTCGACATCTTACATATCACGTGAAAGCATCAGTTCGCTCGCAATTTCGCATTTCTACAACTATTCGAGCTCTAAAAATCTAATCCAAATAAAATCCAGAATGATTCATCAAATAACTTCTCGATTGATATTTATGAAATTCTGAAAAACTAAAGAAAATAACAAAAATGATGCTAATTTTATCTAAAAAAGTCGAGGAAGGTGGTCATAGTCAATATTTATAGTGAGAGAAATCACTAATCAATAACCTCATAATTGCTAATAAACTACATGATACTCTAAAACCTGAGAAAACCATATTTTTTTCCAAGTTATTCGTCATTTTTTCTATTATAAGATACCCAGTGTTTAAGTACTCGAAAATAACAAACTCGAACCAAATACTTGCACTGCATCAACATTACTACGATGTCAATTTTGATACTGCTACTGAACTTTAAAAATCTATATTATCTGAATCAATAATACTTCATTTGAAATAGCCTTGTATTATTATCTTTGTGGCTTTTATGGAAAAAATATGGAATAAGCTTATAAGAATATTTATTAACTAAAAGAAAAACAACAAATGTATTTGAACAAAATGTCGACGATTAGTTTATGTTAATATTTTGTTTTATTTGTTGTTCGAGAACGACTACGACGATTTTTGAACCAGACCTATACAAAACAAAAAAACACTTTTCTCAGACAAACAACTAATAAGAACATACTTGTATACGAGCTTCAGGTACATCTAATCGTTGAGAAAGTTGTTCACGAAGTTGAATATCAGGATATGGATTTTTTTCAAATACTTGATCGAGTATATCAACTTGATCTTTTGAAAATATAGTACGTTGACGACGACGGCGACCTACTGGAGGAGCTAAAATTAAAAATATATATATTAAAATTCTAGTAATACGAAAATAGTCATACCTAATTCAAAAGTTGTATTAAGTACAGGTGTTGATTGTATAGCTTGTACAGGAGGTGTTGGTTGAGCATAAATATTTGTCGTTGAATTATTATAAAGAACAATTTGTGGTGATGGTGATTGATCAGTATAAGATGGATAGTAATATGATGAAGTTGGATGTGATGGGGTTGATTGTGTTGGATATGAAGAATAAGGATCAACATATGAATCATGAAGAGGACATGATGGTTGATAATAATATGATGGTGATGAATAGTATGCATCCATATTTCCTAGAAATAATCAACCAGTGAATTAAAGAATTAGAAAATACTTAGCCTGTTTTGGTTTTGAATGATGATGTGAAATGAAATGAAGAAAATGAATATCAGTTATAATAATATTGGGAAGAAAAGGCAGAAAAAAAAAATTTCTTTTAATTTTCTTTGCCAATCAAAATTAAACGACCAATAATAATCGACAGAAGAACATCAAACAAGAGAAAAAAAAAGAAACACTAATTAATACACCAAAGCTCATCTGTCGATTGACAAACATCAAAAAGTAAAAAAGAATAACATAACATTTGGCAGTTTGTAAATACTATTTCTTAGTGATCATAATCAATTGATGAATAAATGTGAAAAATCATCTAAAAATCTACAGTTCATATAGATTTTGTTTTCACTTGTACTAACAATAATCTGTATGAGCTTCTTTTTCCTTGTGTCTATTCAATCCAAAGATAAAAAAACACAACAATTTGTTCGTTTAGCTACGGGAAAAAAAAACGTATCAAACTTATCAATTGAACGTCGGGATCTGGTGCTTATGTATTCCGATATGGTTGATTTAGTTAGGTGATGCCGACAAATTGTTTTTTATAAGATTGATCGACATAAACAAGTCAGATCTGTCACTTTCTTGATCACGGTGAGGATAAGCCAATCTTTAGTTCACGAGGATGATAGAGACTAATGTCAATATGAAAACATTCATAGGAGCAAAAAAAAAACAAAGAAATAACAAATAAGTGTAAATAATAAACAAGTTATTTTATAATGCCTTTATTCAAAAGATGAAGAGTGTGAGGATGAGAACGTAAAGGAGAAAAATCTTAATCCATTGGATAAAAAATTCGTTGAAAAATAAAATAACATATTATGATTTAGAAAGATATTTGATTTATAGATATGAAAATTTATTCGTTAGGCTTTTCTATGTGCAAATATAGTCGGTAATAGTAATCTTATCTTGAGTTAGAATTGTTCTGTAGATGATCTCAATAATTAAAAAATGGATCTTTCTTAAAACAATACGAATTAAATAACTATCACTAGGATACTACGTGTCCTCTCAGACTCGGGTTCGTGTCCACAAAAACGTGGACCCATAGCTTCGTACATTGATTGTATAGAACATATTCTTGCTTGATTTCGTTTATATAAATACAAGTAAAACTATTCTATATATCTGAAGACTTTAGTATTACTGTTTGTTTGACGATTTTCAATGATGAGTTTTGTTTATTAATTCACTATTCAATTTCATTTTTTTTGTTAGCATAATGCTCTTTTCAACTAAACGAAAACTTTTATTTTATTAAGCATCGAGTGATGAGGAAATGAACAACAAGAAATTACTGTACCTTGACTTTTTTTCTGAGAGTAGTCAATAAATAGCTATAACTTTGATCCTTTACTTATTCATGTGCACGGACGGTGCTAGATATTGATAGAAACAAACTCAGGTGTAGATTTGTCAGGTCCGAGTTCAAAAACGTGGATTCGCTTCTCCCTAACTGACATACGAGATACAACAAAGAAAGTGAAAAACTACTGATGCTAATTATGAGTCGTAATGTATATTCGTTGCTAATGTTCAACCAAATCCAATAACAAAAAATATTTTACTTTAATGAAAACTAGTCACAACGAAAATTGATGTCTTGTTAAATATTTCTCCATCATCAGTTTGAAATATGCTGTCAAATAGATTTGGTGGCAAAAATTCATTTGTTTTAGTCTTGAATATGTGTATTATGACGATACAACTTTATCAAACATACAAATTAAATTTGTACATTTGTTAGTTCAAATCAGTTTTTGGGATCACAAATCAATATGAATTTTAACTTAATTCACTTTATTTGCTTTCGAAAAGATAAATTAGTATTCTAGATTATATCATAACTTTACGATTTTAACATTTGATACAAACAGAAAAAATATTGATAGATCTATGATGAAAATAAAGCGTTGACATACGCTCGGTTTGGCTTCCATATAAGCTTGTATTTATTTTTGCTTAATAATAGAAACTAAAAACAATTATGCAAGCATATTCAAGAGAAACGACTATCGACAATCATTTATCAGTAAAGGATTGAAACGGTGTATACAAAAAACAGATTTTATTATACAAAAAAAGAAGACATGTGAAATAGCAGTAGTTATTAGTCCATAACCAAATCTGGATTTTGTTTGTAGAGTTCATAGTCACTTCGTTTAAAAAATGCAATTTCAGTACCATCGATTATATTGTAATCGCATAAACATTTAGCATCTTCGATTATTAATTGTTCATCACTATCTCGACGAATCACTACATCATTACTCTAAGAAAACAATAGTACAACATTTAAGATTTAGTTCATATTTTAAATCTCAATAAATGATATTCGCAATGAAATCTGGTAAAGAATACGCATATTTCAATTATTGAAAATTTCATTGATACTCGTTTGACTCTAATTAAACTCTCAAAAGTCCAAGAATACGATTAGAGCTGGCAATTAAAGTCACATATTTTATTACATAAGAATTTTCGAAATCCATTATTTGAATTATAAAAACAAAAGTTTATTTTTTCACACACTCATTCTCTTGTACAAATAAAAAATATACGCATATATGTTTGATGAAAAGAAACGAGCTCTTTTTAGTTATATTTAATGAAAGAATACTGTTTCAAAAGGTCAAAAATAATAAAAACGTTTTTCACCTAAAAAACCTAGTGAAGCTGATTAAAAAACATTTTTGAGAAAGTACTCAATATATGTCAAAAAAAAGATTCTTAAAATAATGGTGTGTTCCATCTAAAAAAAATTCCAATTCAAATCATTACTTTTGCTTGATGTGGATAATGTTCAATCTTCAGCGTATCTAAATACAGTGAAAATTATATTATACAAAAACTATTATTATTTTATTTTAAATTACCAAATGCAAATGTTTTAAATGGTGGTGGCAACTTTTCGTTGGGTAACACTGAAAGTGAAACAAAAAATGAAGAGCAAACTACTTCAAAAGAAAAAAAAACGAAAATTTCACCTGAGGAGTAAAATTACGAACTTGTTAGAATTCGTTGTTTGAGTTCTTTGCCAGTCATTTGTCCAGATGAATCGATAGAACGTAAAGTTATATGACGAATATTTCGATGTTCAAATGAACGAATCAATCGAATAGATAATATCATACTATTTTCATTCATAGGAGAGTTATCATTACTTGACATTTTTTTTTTGATCGATCAAAACCTACAAAAAACAATAGACTATCGTAGAGTCAATGAATAATAAATAAATGAATATAGGTCAATTACTACAGTACTCGTATAGTTAACCAATCATTAAAAACTACTGTGAATTAATTAATTTGATGATTTATATTGTGTTAAATGATTATTGTGTTGTGATTATCAAAGGGAAATATCAACATATTTCTGTTCACTGGTTGGAAAATTTAGTGAATAGATGTCGTGATCGAACGATATGAAAATATATGTTTCAAATAATCATTTCTTGTTGTTCGTTCGAAAGGAGGATCACAGAACTCACATATTATTCTTTATGAACATATCATACGAATATGTTAATATTTCATAGGAAAAGACATCCAGTAATTCGTAATTTTCAGATTCTTTTTTTTCTTACTGTCTTTGCTCTTATACCTATTAGCAATCATTCGTATATGGTATCACATTTTATTAACAATTCATAATATGAATCGAAAGAAATTTCCAATACCAGGATCTTTTCTAACTAAAATATTATGTAATAAAAATAATTTTAGTTTTAAGCCTTCCTTTTTGTATAAATTTTTTAGCATTTGTATATATATCAAATACTGAAAAGTCTTTTTCATATTTCTAAAGAAAATCAACAGTTGTTTCTCTAGTTAAACAAGTTGTAGAAATTAAGTATATTTAGTTTTATTATTATTTTAAGCAAGTGTTCACTACATGAGAATTGTACATAAATTTATTGTTTTCTCGATTGCTTCAAAAAGCAGATGAGATGCGTCCTTAAGATTCTTTCGCATAATATTCCAATAAAGATTATACAATTCTGTCGATTTTTCTAGACATTCATATTTTTATTTTTATTTAATGTAATCATACTACTTTATAGAATGCTAAGAATAACAATATTCACCCATACAAATCAAGTGAAACAGATTAAAGTTTACTACAAAAAGTGTTGCTTTTGATGTTTATTATGGTTAAATAAAAAGGGCTAGTTATTATAAAGATCTCATTCATCTTATGCCACTCGAGAAGATGTTTTGTTGAAGATATTCAAAGATATTTATGAGAAATGCACTCAAATGGGTTTTATCGTATTCACACAGCATTTTACAGTTGGTAGGTAAAAGTGAACTTGAAAGTTACAATGGTCGTGACTTTGTCGATCCAAATTTCTTATGTCGTGAATCATATGAAGATATAAACAATATTGTAGATGTATGTTTTTATCTGCAGTAAGCTAAAAAATTCATGAAAGTAACTCATTGTGATCACGAACACATATATTATGAAAAATGCTCATGTTAATGATAATCAATTATTGATATAAATAATTCTAACATTGTATGTTTTCCGTATACTGTATACTAACTTTTCCTTATTCCAGGAATACAAAATAGAAGCTATCTCAAAAGAAGTGCAGTGTGACTACAGTTTGAAATTTGTTATTGTGAATAAAAGCAAATGTCGTATGCTGAAAAACTAGTCACTTTTGCAGGATCAGCGAACAAATTATCAAAAACATTCAAAGTTAATGATTATAGATTAACAGCCATTCTAGTTAAAGAGATTCTATTGTTCTAATAACCATCAACGAGGGCATATATGAATGCTTTTAAACTACTGATAACAAATAGTATTCATTTCGCTTAAAGTTAACAAGAACCAATATTGCATTATTGCTTTCTCATTCTACGGTTGGTAGAAAATTTTTCATAGTTTTTACCTTGTGGTTTATACCTAAAATATTATCACTGCAAAATATAACTTCACTACATCAGATATATGCAGGGGTGGCGTGAGTCAACCAACATTGGGGGGGTGTAGCGAAATTTTTTGGACTAGAAAGACGAAGTCTGCAATTTTTCGGGGGGTGTAACATTGTTTTTGGTGACAAATGGAAGAAAATTTCCTGATTTTGTTGAGCAAAAAAACAGAAATTTTTGAAGATTGGGGGGGTGTCGCACCCCCGACTACCCCCCGGTCGCGCCACCCCTGGATATATGTAACACAGGTCACAAAAATACTGACTAAATATTGCAATTTTGTACGAACTGACAATGATAGTCTCAAGAAAATATAAGAGACTTTTCAAAAAGTACAATACATAACGTTTTTGTTAGCTTCAATCAGCTCGCACAATTAATGATCTTGCACTTCTTTTGCTGTTTTGGGATCACTTTAATAGCCTTCTCAATTGCAACCCGTTATTAAATGGTATAGAACAAAACATCTCTATATTGAACGATGATACGCATTCAAAAAACTATTATATGATTATATACTTTTAAGTTTTCAAAAAACAATTTGCTTCAATCTTTATTCCATGGATATCATTGCTGCGTTTACGAACAATTTATGTCCAATACGACTTCACGAATATGTTCGTTGACATAATCTACGCTAATGATTTTTCGATTGTTTGCAAATTATTTTAATGCAATTCATCGTATTTACTAAAGAGATCATAATATATTTTGACAAAAACTGTTCAAGCAATTCAATATTAATAAGAAGTATTGGTCAATGTTTTTGGATGTATCATAGATTAGCAAGTATACGAACATCTATAGTTAACTTTCGCAAGGTGTATGCATCAGTTACGACAGCCACGATAGATTTTGACTTCTCAGTGGAAACTATTAATTGAATAAAAAGGCAAGGAACGTGTTTCAATAAAATTAAAACTTTTTGTTAAGAAAAGAAAATGTTCGAATAAAAGTAGAATACGTTCCGAAATGGAACGGTCAAGAGCGCTCTCGATTCTTAAGCAAATGACTTTCATCTTTTCAGACACGTTCTTGATCGTTCCTATTCAAAATGATAAAACATGGACTCTATTGTTCTACGAAAGTGTTCTCAGTCATTTTCGTAAAAAGAATAGCACAAAAGGAATTTCAAAGGGTGAATAACTGAATTGATTATCCACACTCATACCCGAAAAATACAGATTGTTATTCGTTCTCATTTAAACCAATTTTAGCATGCATCAATTTCAATCGGCTATTTTCGAAAAATCCAAAAGATCAAATTTCTATAAGTACTGATTTAAATCGATTTTAGTGTTCGCCGATTTACATAGAGAGGGAACGGAGGCCAAACAGTTCTGAGAACTAGTAATATTTCTTCAATCAGAAGTACATTATTTTTATTTATCTACATCAAACGTTGGAAGACATCATAGCAATGGTCAATAGCAAGCTCCATTTACTTTTGAATAATCTTTTTGTATTCATTGATGTGTGTCAAACTGATGACTTAATTATTGCTTAGTTATACTCGTCGATTCAGTACCGAAAATTTGGCAGATTTTATGAAATGGACACTGTGATGATGTGATGTAATGACGGGCGTTGAAAGACAGATTAAATATCGCAGTATTAGGTGGAAGCAAGAGAGAAATCTTAGTTCGTAAAAAGAGAAAACATTTTGTCATAAAAAGATGACAACATGTAAAGAAACAATGTTTGTCGGTTTCTTTATGATAATGTGGGCATTACTTATTCGTCAGATGCATTCTATATGATCCGTTAATGCTATCTAATGATTGTAACAATGTTTACAAAACATCAGTTAAGAAATTTTCAACAAAGACTATCATGAGGCATCGATGGTACCAAATTCATCATGATATTGCAAATATCTACTTAGCTGCAATAAATTTAACTAAGCAACAGCCGAGAATCAGTTTGACACACATCAGTGAATACAAAAAGATTATTCAAAAGTGAATCGAGCTTGCTATCGAACATTGTTATGATATCTTCTAACGTTTGATGTAGATAAATAAATATAATGTACTTCTTATTGAAGAAATATTACTGGTTCTCGGAACTTTTTGACTCTCTATGTATTTTTTCCATTGAGTATCGCGTTGTTTATAGTTTGATATAAATCGATAAGATTTGAATCAATATAATTGAGTGTTTTGTTTTCAATAATTTAAATGAACTCTTTAGTACTGATACTCATTTCATAACAGAAAAAGTGTGAGCATTTTTTTGAATAACTTTTGCTAGAAACTAGATGAAGAGCTGCAGTTTTCACCGTTTAGAAGAGGAGATGAAACTGTATCGAATCGTGTATACCAAATTTTTCTGACAAGTCTTTTCAGATTCTGTCCCCAGTTTTTTTCAACAAATCTAGACTTTTGAACAGGTCTATAAGATGGATGTTTCCTTTAGAAAATGAGAAAAAACTCGATTTTTTATGAAAAATCTGCCGATAGCACGGAATAAAATGTGTGTAACTCATGTTTGGCTAAGTCTTACAACATCGGACTTACATAATTTATAGATCTTTAGTTAATTATTCTAATGCACTCCTGAAATATCAAAATCATAAAAAACCCCTTACATTAAACAATGTTTTCTTTTTAACGAACTTGATAGTAGGCACTGAGAAAACTTCTCATGAAAACTCTGGTATGCACGATTCGATGCAGTTTTATCTTCTCTTCTAAACAGCGAAAACCGCAGCTCTCTATCTAGTTTCTATCAAAAGTTATTCGAAAAATACTTACACTGTTTCTTTTTTGAAATGGATATTAGCTGTTATTTCTGGCAGAAAAAAAGTGGGCACAACTTAATGAAGTTGACTTGTCTATTATGATTAGAACAATCGGAGGAATAGTTATTTCATTGTTTGTTGTTATTGTATGTTGTTCTTGTTCCATTTCTGTAGCTCGATGATATTTTATTTCATTTCTTGTTGAGATCTTCCATTGTTGACTCACGTTTTGTATCAATATTGGTTCGAGTTCGTATTCAATTCGGCATAGTATTGATTTTTCATCAGTTAGTATTTTGAGTGTGGATGCAGGTCAGAGTCCGGAATGAACTGAACTTTTCTAATTCGGATTCAGCTCAGTTAGGCTCTCTTTCGGACTCTGGTCATCATCATTCTCACCCATCCACTGACATCCACATTCCCTCAAAATAGTATTAGTGTAGTGAGTGTGTGAGTATTTCATGACACCTCGCCTACACAGTACGAGTGTATTGGTATTATATGATATCTACCCCATCCTCAAAACTGATTGAGCATATAAATTTAGTTTTATTAGTCGAATTTAATAATAGAAAAACAAGCAAAATTATTATTCTGGTTCATTTCCAAAATAAGCCAAAAGTCACAATATTTTATTAATATTGATTTCATAAAAACTATTGTTGTTATACATCTACTTAATTTCATGTCTTTAGTTTCTGTTATTCTTAAAATTTAACATTTCATTAGTTATTTCCAGTGTTATAAGCGTTTCGGATGCTTAAAACTGCATCTTTTAACAAAGGTTGTAATCCTAGAAAAATATTTTGATAGTGTGTTCTCCAAATTGTTAAAACTTCTGTATATTTTGATATTAAATCGTTGATTCGATTTTGAACATCGGTGGCCGAACTACAACCAAGTTGTTTGAAGAATATTTCTAATTTTGGTTTTAATATTCTCTCGATATTCTGCGTGTGTGTCAATTGCCATGTAACTGAATTATCATAATCAGTAAGAAAGTTATTAATTAATAGAAGATCGTCATCACCAAGAGAATCCAAACGTTTTGGGGGCTCCTGACTGGTTGCTGTTTTCTCTACGAAGTAAAAATGATCGAAAAATATTATTCAATTATCTGTGAATGAATTTTATCATTCATTCAAAACGAAAAAAAAATCAATTCGGGCTTCAAAAATCTGAAGCTCGTAATACGAAATAGTTCAGCAAAAGCCTAAAATTGTAGTAACAAATTTGAAAGTTTAAGAACTCTTCTTTCTTCTTACTACATCGACATGTGTGCTACTATTTGTGACGATGTCAAAAGATCATATCCAAAGGAAAGAACTAATCTTATTATAGTTCTGAATTTCAAATTCGTTTCAAATCCCAAACTCATGTACAATCCAACAGTAAAAATTCAAGAATAGAAATCTATAAGTTCCAAAGTTAAAAGTCGATATTTTCTTTTCTGGAATTGTCATATTAGCTACTCCATGAAAGATATGACATAGTCAAAGAAGAGACGTTGAAGTGATCGTGCATTTGTATCATTTTCCTCATATATGTTGTAGAGGTAATTTTTCGATAAAATTCTGCTCAAATCGGTTGAAAAAGTATTGTATCGTTTCGCAGATATCCAATTTTTTCCGTGAATCTTAACAGGAGAAAAGGCACTTCTTATGCCAGTTTTGAAATACATTTATATCGCCAAAGGCGCATCCTCCTGATTCGAAAACCTTATTTTAGGTAGATGATACAGTGAGATTGCTCTAGAAACAAAATTCACTAAGAATCAACTGCCGAGAAATAATTTAGTCTTCCTTGAAATGTGGGAAAGCCCACATTTTGGCATTTTAAGAACAGTATAGCTCTCGATCAGCACATGACATAGAGAGGTGTCGTGTTTTGACTTCACCTAAGAGAGAGCTGTGACTGTGAACAGTATAACCAAAATCAGCATTTTACAACGACTCGATCTATAGCAAAATCGAGTCGCATGGGGTCGGATTATTATGTACTTGAAGCACAATCGATGGCTGAAAACAGCATATTAAGATTTGTCTGAGGAATCAAAGAATGAACCGATGTTTTTTTAGGCTAGGAGTCGTAAACAAGAGTGATTTTTACCATTCGGGTACACAATTAACGCGGCTCGATCTTATCTAACATTCTCATCACATAGGCATCGCCCAAAAAGCTTGTTTCCGAAGGATTTTTTATTTTGACAGACTATCTCGAGCGTATGGATTTCTAGATTTTTTGAACTTTAGCAATGTTTGATTTTTTAGAGCTTTCGAAACTTTAACTGTGAAGTTTTATACTTTTTTCGTTGTTTTTTCATCTTCATTGAATTTCCGAACTTTAAGTGAATGTTAAAATTCGAAGTTCGAAAAACCAGCTCTTTTCTGGTTACATTTACTACGGTGAATGATTGAGTGCATCAAATACTAGAATGTCTATCATGATCTGAGGATAGGTGAGGAGTGGTACACTTTCCTCCATATATAGCTCAGTACTTAGTGACAATCATTTTTTACAAGAGCGTAGTGTGTTCATTGATGACAAGACCCATGGACTCAAATCGATCAATTTCTTCAATAGTAATCATTCGTTAGAAGCTTGGTTCAATGTCCTCCCTTTGTCTTTGTTATCTATTGTATTACTTACTGACTTCGACTGGTAAGAAAGCCACACACAAATCATAATTTTCTTTCAGACTAAAAGAAAAACAAAGTGTTTTCATTGTAGAAATTTTTTTTTGAAAGTACTCGCCGACGAATAAATTCTTCTTTTGTTATCTTTTCATCCTTTTCTGATTTGGTAATTTTCATAATTGTCTTGGCAAACAACGATATAGAACTAGAATCAACACCTTTCAATTCGGCTACGGCTTCCATAAGTTGAAGCAAGTCTTCGTTACTGACTTTGTCTTGACCATGATAAGCACACAATTGAAAAGTCTTTCAAAAGACAGAAAAAATCGATTGAAAATAGTATAATTCATTGAAAAAATGATATACACATACGAGTGCAAGTTGGTGTTCTATATCACCCGGCAACGTCAAAGAAAAAGCTACCATGTATTCATCAAAGGTAAGTGTTCCACTGTTATTTTTATCAAACGCCTTAAATGCATAATTACAATAGCGATGTGGTTCGCCACTGAAAATGAAAAAGAAATAGAAAGTATATATAATTATGACGATGAGGGTATTGAGATAAGACTTACCGCGGAAATAGTAGTTGGAATTCAGCGCTAAACTCCTGTTCATTAATTTCACCACTAGGACTAAAAAAATGTGTTACACGCCGAGTGTATGATACTAAGCTAATATCAGAAATCGATTAGCCTCTTACTGTGTAGCAATAAATTTTTTGTGCAATGCTTCAATTTCTTTATTAGTTACGTTTGTAAGTTTATGTTCCGTTCGCATTGCTCGAATTTGATCTTGAGATAAAGTTACTAGATAGAAAACAAGAATCGATTATATATATATATACATATATAATTTTTTGTGCTAAATACTATTGTAAATTCAACTTGAGAATTTGAAACAGTCATTCAAAGTATTTGATAGGAAACACGAATTTACTTACCCAGCGAAGTATGAAAATAATCTTTTGTGTTGATAACTCCACGATTTGCATGATAAATCACACATTTATCAGGCTTCTCATCCATATTGACGAGAAAATCATGATCAACCACTCGAAAAATCGCTTGTCGTGTTTGGTTTTGCGTCTGAGCTTTGTACAAATTAGTGAAAAGTCGTATTTGTTTGTACCAATTTCGTTCATCACTTTCTTTCCATTGATTTGAAATATGTAATAGATAAATATCATAATCATGATTTTTATTAAGAAAACTACGAATCGTAGTGTTTTTTGGAAATAGAATGCTTGAATATCCTCCTGTTGATTGTTGTCCTTCTCCTTTTGCCTCTTGTAAAAATCGACAGATTTCGTTTAGTGCTTCAATTTTGATAATATTTCGCGAATTTTCTTCCAAAAATCGTCGCATGGACACGACAGAACATGGGTTATTTTTGTCGAAATTATCTAACGATTCGACCATTTTGTTTTCATCAACTTCACCCCGACGTATCTGTTCAACTAGCGTTCCAAGTTGATGCAACGTATCCGTTTGTATTCTATTGAAGTTTGTTTGTTTAGTAGTAATAGCTTCAATCCAATCCATTGCAAGCCAATCTTGCCATGGTGTAACTTTGTCAAGAAAATCATTCAGTATTCTTTTACTACGAATTATTTGCTCAAAAGTATCTTCAAGGCGACTCATAAGAAAAATGGATATATCTTTAATGATTCTAAAATATGATTACATAAGAATGTATATATATCAGTTCTGTAATAGTTAAGACATTTTGAATAAATTTACCGTTGAATGGATGTTTCATATTTAAAAATTTGAGCCATTCGTTTCAATGGATATAATTCAAATTCGAGTTGTTGTCCTTTTCCATCATTTAATTCGTTCAATTTCGATGGTACTTCACTGAAAGCTTTAAAAACGTCTTCAACTGTTCGTGGAACAGTGCTTAACTTGATATCGCCAGAAATATTGATTTTCAATGAATGAAACTTGGAATTACTTTGATCAACATATTTCACACTAGCGTCACCACTAACAGCAATTGTTGGCTTTTTCAAGCATGCCGACAGTTGACCTTGAAGTTCTGCGGCTTCCTCTGAGGTAGACAAGATTTCTTCAAATGTAGCTGCAACATTTGCACCCCAAGTAATTCCAATAACACAATGTGTTGCATTTGGATTCTCCAATGCATCTGATGAAAAATATTGATGCAAATCAGTCATACTAATGTGTAAATGATCCTTTTTTGTTTTCATTTGAAGAATATGTGTTACTCGGACTGTTCGACTATTGGTTTTTGTTTGATTTAAATATTTAGCAGAACCTTCGATATTAAATAGACCAGCCATAAGACTAATTTTCATCGATGCATCAATATTAAGATTGTTGAATGTATCTTTTTGAGATTCATTTTCATCAACAATATAAGTTGAATGAGCACAATCCGTTGTTGAAATATACGATGACGGAATCGTCTGATTGAATAAACTTCGACCTTCGAAGCGATCATTGCGAACATCATACAAACTTCCAATAAATCCTTGTCGACCAATAGCTTGTCTTTTGATTGTTTCGTAATCTGTACTCATGTTTCAGCTGACAATCGAGTGATAAGAAACAATGTCTTCTATCTATAATTTAGAAAACGAGAGTTTGAGAACGAAACATTACAGGTTACACGTATATTGTATTACACGTATGCAATAACGGTATCCACAATTCTACTGCATCTTTTCTCTGATAATAGTCCTTAGGGCTGATGTTTATTTCGCAAGGACTACCACGTTATTCTTTAAGTTACCGACAACACAAAAAAGAACCACGATTTTTTATTTCTGATTAGTTTTATTTATACCTCCTTGGATAAAAACTTATGAGTTAATTATGAATATATAGTTTTCAATGATTTTGAATATTCTTTTTAATTGTTTCCATTTTCAGGGTTAAAGGTGTGAATGGTGGTCTTCTTGTCACATCCCTATCTACCCATCTACTTACATTCACTTTCACCCTAAAAAACTCGTCCTCTAACATTGGGATTCGATCTGTTGCCCGGTTTACAGTCTGTCATATGTATGCTATTATAATTTTTCGATTCATGGGTTTTAGATATTGCATCTTGGAATTTTATGACCATGGGAATACAGATTTTCAGAATATGAAATTTGGGCTTTTCATACCACAAAATTCCTGATTATTGGAGCTCAATCTTGAAGATTTCTAAGATAGTTTTGAATTTCGAATCAATTGGAAATTCCACAATCCAAAAGGACTAAGTTTACTCTTCCACAATGCTGTATATTAATCTCTATTACAAAGCGTCACAAACGATTGAAAAATCACTTTCTTTCCTTTGACCTTGTAGCAAATGGTGACAAATATATCAAGTAACTTTTCCTTCATGTGAAATTATCTCATCATGTTTCAGATTGGATCCATAGAGATAATGCTGAAAATTTTGGATTATACTACAAAAATTTTCATAGTATTCATTTTTATTGTCTTCCAGTCTGTAAACAAGCGAATCGGCTTTCAATAAACTTTACTTGTATTGCAAAGTAATGGATATGAGATCGCCTTACATGTAGGGGTGGGAAGTTACCGTTATCGTTCCCGGGTAACGGTCCTGTTACTAGTTCTCGGGGAACGGGGGCACGGGCCTATTATAAGGGGGTACCCTTGGGTCCTCAAGTCCCATACTATGGGGGCACCCTTAGGTTCTCAAGTCCTATACTATGGGGTACCCTTGAGTCCTCAAGTTCTCTTATTGGGGGGTATCCCTGGGTCCTCAAGTCCTATACTAGAGGGGTACCCTTGGGTCCTCAAGTCCTATACTGTGGAGTATCCTTAGGTCCTCAAGTTCTATTATTGGGAGGTACCCTTGGGTCCTCAAGTCCTATACTATGGGGGTACCCTTAGGTCCTCAAGCTCTGTTATTGGAAGGGAGGGTACCCTTGGGTTCTCAAGCACAAATGCCAAAGCTGTATCTTCACCGTGTTGTACTGAGTAGGAGCCCATACATATACCCATCAATCGATAGAGCACCCTCGATAACCCTGTGTTTGGCCCGAACATGCCCATCGCTTTCCTTCACAATAAGGGAAAAAATTTGAACCCCCTCGGGTACCCCAATAATAGGACTTGAGGACTAAGGGCACTCCCCAATAATAGGACTTGAGGACCAAGGGTGTCCTCCAATAATAGGACTTGAGGACCCAAGGGTACCCCCAATAGTAGGGTCGTTACTGTTTCCGGGTAACGGGGTGGGAACGGTAACTTCCCACCCCTACTTATATGCAACGTTTTGGATCAGAATCCCAACATTCGGGTTTTTCTCGATTCACATTGATACAAATGAGGAATATAGTGATATAGGCACAAATCGAGAAGAAAGACCTATTCAGGTGCATTCTTTTAGACTTCTTCTTATCATAACATGTCACAATTAATACATTTTGCTTTGCTCAAAAGTGGTTTATCATCTGTGACTACTCCATTCGTAATACTTTTGTGACACTAATAGAAAATACGTTTACTCTTTTTTTCTTACTAAGTAACGTGTATAAAGTCGTTTCAAGCAGTTGATGGAAGGTAATTTTTGTACGAAATTTCTATATAAACCCCTCATGCATGTTTACGACACGAATCAGCAGAAAAAATATCATTTTATTATTATTATTATTATAAGCAGTCGAAAAATCTAAGACAACTGAGGAAAATTGGATACCTCTTCTTTGTATTTCGCAACTTTGGATCTAATGTCAACCATTATTTAGAATACAATGGTATATTTGAATGTAGTGTGAAAAAATTTATTTAATCATGAGAGTCTCCCTTAAGTTGGAGTGTTCACTAGAAGCAAAGCTGACAACAAGAAATCTGCAGTTATCTAACAGCGATCGAGTTCATCGTTCGATAATTAGTAAAGCATGATGAGACTATTCAACACTCAAAAGAACTTGCTTCCATACTTTGTTGAACTAGAGTTATGGACAGTGTACAGGAATTTTAGCTCGTTGTGTTCTTTTTGTGTAAAAAAAATTGAAAAACACTACTTTCATTTGGATTCTGTCTACAGATAAGTCCCTGAGCCGTTAGAATACTGTAAAAATTCCAGTGCAATCAGATGCACTATTCTTGAGATGTTGACCTTCTCTCATGTTACATGCTTAAATTTTTCGACATTCAATATCGCAAGAATAGTAAATCCAGTTACACTGAAATTTCTACACCGTTCTAATGACTCAAGGACCTATCTATAGACAAAATTTCAAACAATGAACAGAGTATGGGAGCAAGTCCTTTTAGGTCGAGAATAGTCTTCTCATGCTTTGCTTATGATTCAAAGATGAGCTCTATCTAGGGTAAAAATTGAACTGTGCGTAATAACTCACACACCAAACGCGCCTGGTCGACGTGCAGCTCATATTCGTTAATTAACAGCGAAAACCGTTTGAGAATGTATATTAGTTCACTGAATTATCACGTTCAGAGTGTCTAAGAAAAATTCTACTTTTTGTATTCTATAGCAGAACAACACGCTCTTCATTTCTGGAAATACCAAATTTTGGGATCTTTTGACTCTGAAATGTAACAGCCTATTTTCTATGCTACAAGACTGAACTTGTTCGAAAAAACGAGGAAAGCATATAGATGAAAAAATTTCTATTTAGTGATAAACACTGTACCTCGATAGCTGATCCCATTGGGCTGGAACTTTCAGAGGGCATCTAACCCGCAGATCTCTATAACATGTATAAAAATCATTCAATTTTGAGATTCCATTCCATTACTAGTCTCTGAAGGTCTCAAAAACTCAGATTTTAGAGATTCATCGTTTCATTATCTACAAAACTATATTTTTTTGCATAGTCCAAAAGGCATAGGGCGTTTTTAAGTACATGAAAAAAATTGCTGAGAATGCCGAACTTTCGAAAGTGAACTTGTTGAGATATTTTCCACTTCTTAGATTTTTAGTAGTTTTAATTCCATATCAGAAACTAAGATCAGCATGAAACAGATCTGATGACTAATTGAAAAGATGTAAAAGTTGACTTTTGTGTGAATGACGACCATGCTATGACTATGTTTCTAATAAAGTCAGAAATCCTTCACACGCCAGTGATGGAACAAAATCTCTGAATCGGCTGTTTTTGCATATGTTATAAAGCTTCAGTTCCATCAGATACGTCTTCAAGGTAGAGTACTCGTCGCAGGATCAACATTTTAAATTTTTACTATTCCCTTTTTTATTAATTTCATTCATTAGTCATAGAAACTTGATTTTTACATTCAAGCGTACAAAGTTACCAGATTTTGGTATTACTGAAAATCAAGATCATATTTTCCACTATATAATTCGGAGCATCATCATTCTGCAGCGAGTCTATGACTGCGATGGTTCGGTAAACTTATAAAGTTTTTCAAAAGTTTCTCACTCTTTTTTGACAAAAATGAACCAAATGTTCGTCAAGTATGCTAAATGTGCTAGCAGTCATACATGTTAAAAATTTCACCACCGATTAGGAGTGTCACCTTTTTCGAAAATACCAAAACCAAAAATTTTGTTTTCGAAAAAACTGAAAAGGAACGCCTTTTCTCTGTTCGACAATTTGATTTTATCAAGCTCGTTACAGGTTACTTGAATATCAAGTGGATTAGGTGCAAAAAAAAGGATCATATACGAAATCAAACAAATACAGTTTCTCTTTGTTCTTCTTTTTCTCTTTGGAAAACGGCAAAAACATATTGCCTTTTGTTTTCTTAAATTACATGTTTCTTACTTTTTTCTTATTGGAAAATACGAAAACATCTGGTTTCGTATTTTATCATAATGACATACGTATTTAGGAAAATTTCGGCTTTTGTCAAAAACTAATTTTTTCGTTGTTGTTTTTTCAAAAAGCGCGAAAGTGGCATCTACACCATCGGTAGACCTCCTGAAGTTCGATCAGCTATGTGAGAAGGAATTTATTGTATGAGTGAAGAGTAAAGATTTACTTGTCGATCGACTTTTCCATTGAAACTAAGCTTGACAAGAGAAGAATACAAGCTCTCCAGCACCAATCGAGCTCATATTTGGCAAATAAATAAAATTTGATGAGACTAATTAAAGGCAAAAGAACTACCTTCTCCTATACTCTTTTTACATTGGATGGCGTGTATAAGTTATAGAATAATTCACACAAACTGAATTATAAAATATTTCATCATACTTATAGCATCTTGAGGATCTATCAGAATTTACCAGGGCACACCATTCAAAGAGCCACAAACATCAACACAGAACGGAGAACTAGAATGAAAGTGCAGAAAGTCACCAATGACGGTAGACCACACATAATGCATATCACGAAGTGTATGTTTACGAGCACAATCACTTTTGGGATTGCCCTCTGTTAGTGTTTGATGTTGTTTGAGTGGTGCACCTTGATGAATCCTGCAAGATCTTACACATTTATAGATCATAAGGAAGATGAAGAGCAGGTATACAAATGGATGCATCATAGTAAATCATTATAAAGCTTACTGTTCTTTTTCATATTAATAGAACGAAAGCTTCGAATTATTTTGTAAGTCATTTACATCA